TGAGGTTAGAAAATGAAATCAACCCAAACCTTTGAGTAGTATATGTGTAAAAGTATAGAAGTATTATATTTCATTGATATTTAAGTACATACCACCTATTCTTTAAGGTGATTTTCCAAATGTTTCTAAAAATGCCTAATTGATGAACTATCTTTCTTTTAGATTTGGCTTTAGAGTCCAACCCCTCAGATCATGCCCGCGCCAGCACGATCTTCCTTAGCAAGTCACAGACGGATGGTGAGTGATTAAACAAATCTAATGAGTTAATAATTTAATTTTACTACCTAGTCAGCAGCTGCATATTAACCTAAGTGTCCTGAGTCCTGACCCATAAATGGCCACTGGCACAGCTTGTCAATATTTGTTGGAGAATTATTTAACAAAAAACCCTTGGTTTTCTCTTTTACAGTACGGGATAGGAGGAAAAGCAATCACATAAACCACGTGAGTGAATGTGCTGAGGAGTCTGTTTTGTGGTTGGGCTTGCTTATATGATTGGGACGTCTTACTGCAATGCAAGCGTATTAAATGTTGGTCCTTTCCAAAGGTCTCACCTGGTCTGCTTTCAAAGAAGTACAGTTCCTGCTCTACGATATTCATTGATGACAGTACCGTTAGTCAGCCCAACCTGAAAAGCACAATCAAATGGTCAGTGAAGGTTCACTGTATTATTGCAACATTTCTACAGTATAGTCAAATATACACATTAATGAGTACATGCAAATGAATGCATGTCAAAAATAAGGTGAAACGGTACTGTTGGTTGACACATTTGTGTTCTCTGTTTCCAGTGTCACATTAGCAATATATTATCACATTAAAAACAGGTAGGTTTGGTTATATACTTTACCATGAGAAAATAATTTGAGCTCTACATTTGATAATGTATTTTATATAAATGTTCAATGTGTTCTGTGATAATCCATTTTAGGGACTCCAATAGGTCATTGGACATCTTTGATGAAAAAATGCACCCCTTATCTGTAAGTTAGCCCCTTATTTATCTTGTTTTATCAGCAGCTGATAGACAATTTCACATTTTACAGTCACTGGTTTTGTTCAGACAGGCTGCAATATCTATTTTTGTGTGTATCAAATCCATTTAGCTGTTCAGTCTGAGCAGCAAAACATTTTATGCAATCCGATTTGTACATTTTATCTAATTCATGTGTGGTTTAAAATCCAGCTGAAATGGATTTTGGAAATGCGTTTCTGAACAGTCTGTTATTCTTGTTATTTGTAGCACTGTTAGAAGTGTTTGTACTTGCACAATGACAGGGACTCTTTGCTATAGTGGAAGGTCTCTTTGCTGGCATTGGAGCTTGAAGTTGAATGTATATTAAGATGTTATGTATATAAATGCTACCTTTGGCAGAGGGAGCAGGTTCCTGACGATTACTCCCGCACAGATCCAGAACACAAACTCATCTATCGATTCGTCCGGACACTGTTCAGCGCAGCACAGCTCACGGCCGAGTGTGCAATCGTCACTCTGGTAAGAGAATGCCAGTCTGTCCGGCTAGTCTGCTTTACTTTCAACAATAAAATGAGAAAAAAGACAATAGAATAAATAACTGGTACAATGCAGAAAAAAAATATGAGGCTTTGATTTTTGACGGAGATATGCTTATTCACAATTTCCTGACAGTCCACTAGAGGACAGTAGAGCACTAGAGAATGAATCATCATTTGCTTGTTTAACCTGTACTTTTCCACAATTCCAACTTCTTTCTTTTACCGTTAAGTAAATCATGTTATGTACTGCTCACCTATTTCATGACCAGTTAATGTTATTCATCAATTCAACAAACAAATATTTTGTTATTAATCTGGGTAATGCTATTTTATTAATATACTTTTGCTCATGAAGATTCATATATAATACATTAACTAATGTTGATTTATACAAGTAGTATACACTATCTTCAAGTCTTTGATGTTAGTAAGATTTTTTTTTTAAATTCCTACTTTTTTTAAAAATTCATATTTGTATTCTACAAGGGCACACAAAATGTATCAAAAGTAACAGTTAAGACATTTATAATAGTATAAAAATGTATATTTTTTATCAAAGAATCTAATCTGAAAATATATCAATATTAGGGAGCATAACTGTATTCAACATTGAAGATATGACATTTCTAAAAACAATATTAAGCATATTAGAATTTCTGAAGGATTGTGTGACTGACATTTTACTTTCTTTGTAATTGAAATTAACATTAATTCAGATTATATTTTATTTCTAATCTACACACACTAATATGTAGTCTTTCGTGCGAGTTGCCTTGGTAAAAACGTCTTCTGATATAACATATATTTACCACTGTCATTGCTGCAGGTGTATTTGGAGAGGCTGTTGACGTATGCCGAGCTGGACATTTGCCCATGTAACTGGAAGAGGATTGTTCTGGGAGCCATCCTGCTGGCATCGAAAGTCTGGGACGATCAGGCCGTGTGGAACGTTGACTACTGTCAGATCCTCAAAGACATCACTGTTGAGGACATGTGAGTGAGATAATATTATCACTGTCCATTCTGCTGAAATGAGACTGCTCACTTGTACTGTCCGTTTATAAATAGAACAAAATGTCCCGAATGCCACAAATCTATCTGAAATCTAGCACATGCTGCAGGAAGGAAACTACACTCTTTCCAGTCTACAACTCCCACATACCCCACAACTTCCCATATCCATTGGAACAAGATTTTCAAAAAAAAAAAAATAATAAAGCCAGCAATACACTTCAAAACCTTGTTTTTTGTTGTTGTTGTGGTTGTTTTTGTTCTCGTGTCTCGATATCCATATAAATGACAGAGACAGGGTTTTTGTGTGTACGTGTCTGTGTTTGTGCTGTTCTACCTGATTGTGTATGTTAAAGGCCATGTCCCTCTTCTCTCCTCTCTGCCCCTTCACTCTATTTTCATCCCTTTCATTGAAGCAGTCTTTGTGAGCCTCTGGGCTGGCGGGCTTCAAGTGCTCTTAGACTCCTCTACAATGGTCCAGGCTCTTGGCCACTCCATTTGTTGCCCCTAGCGACCGAACATCCCTCCTCCCCCTTTCCCAACACCACCCATACCAACCTCAACCTAATGTCTGCTCTTCCCAAAACATTCGGGTCACTGTCTCCACGATGGTAGTCTCCGTACCTGTGATGGATTGGAGGTGTAAAAGATGATTCTTGTTAATAATAATTAACCATTAGCATAAACTTTTTTTTTTTTTTTTTTTTTGGTGAATGATGAATTTGTTTTTATTTCATGGCTTTTGTGCAGGTCACTTAGCCCAAAGTAAATTCTTAAAATTTTAGGACAGTTATTCAGTGTAGTTCAGTGCAGTATTCAGTTTTTTTTTTTTTTTCAAAAGAAATTACTTTTTTGTTTTTTAAGAAATTAGTATGCGTTTAGAATGGATTATAAGTTACCGTAAAGACAAGTTTCTATTTAAAGAATACTGAAAAAATATCTGTTTTCACAAAAATATCAAGCAGCAAAACCGTTTAACACTGATTTCATAAAAATAAATGTTTCTTAAACACCAAAAAAAAAAAAAAACACTATTAGAATTATTCTGGAGGATCATGTGACACTTGAGACTGGAGTAATAATGAAAATTCAGCTTTGCTCTCACAAAAAACTGTTATTTTAAATAGTAATATTTTATAATATTGCTGTTTTACTGTATTTATGATCAAATGAATGCAACCTAAGTGAAAATGAATTTTTTTTCAAATACATTTTGAAAAAGAAACATTTTCTAAATGTTCCCAAACTTCTGAATGATGGTGTATAAAAATTGCAAATGCTGTTCAAAGTAGTTTTGGATGAGGCAAAAAGTTTAGCATGTCACATTGTCAATGCTGTGCAAAATAATGGATTGTATATTAGTTGTCATGTTATTTTTTTTCTTATCTGTTTGTTTTATTTACATTTGATTTTAATTAAAAAGACTCATTCTTGACTAATTTAATCTAATAATTTTTTTCAGGAACGAGATGGAAAGACATTTTCTGGAGCTGCTGCAGTTTAACATTAATGTACCGGCCAGCGTTTATGCCAAGTATTACTTTGACCTGCGCTCTTTAGCAGACGACAACAACCTGAGCTTTCCTTTGGAGCCACTGAGCAACGAACGAGCGCAGAAACTAGAGGTGAGGAGCTAAACAACGTGACCGATTTTTGTGATCTTTTTCCAATGTGTCAATTTAAAGACTAAAGTTCTATAACTTTATTTCAAAGGCAATCTCAAGACTGTGTGAGGATAAGTACAAGGATCTGAGCAGAGTGGCCATGAGGAGATCATTTAGCGCAGACAACCTAGTGGGCATACGCAGATCCAACGCCGTTCTTTCTTAGAGCTTTTGCTCGGGAACAGATGGCACTCGTTGGACAAAACCCGTTCAGTGCCCGGCGATTTTATGCCAATCAAAAGATCCTACACCTTACCCAACCAACGCAGAACAACATGGAGACAAAAACAAACTGAATGAGGGGTTTTTTTGTTTTGTTTTTTGCTTACTATGTAGGCTACTAGCTGTGAACTGTCCGTTTTTAATTGAAATCATTTGCAGATGGAGTATTTTAAATAAACACTAATCATGTAACATGTCTGGATTTTGAAGAATGTTTTACAAGGTCGCTCTTACTTTTAAAGGGTTGGTTTAAGGGGTTTTGTTGCATTGCACTTAAAAAAACCCAGGGATTATTACATAAAGTTCTTTCAGTCTCTCAATAAGTGCTAATTAACATCATGTTAGAAACTTATTTGTTTTAGACAATGTAAAATATATATATATATATAAATAAAGTACAGGTTTTATTGCCAGTAAAAAAGGCACTGAAATGTATCAGTGCCTTCATGTATGTACTGAAACCTCTACTAACAAAGCATCAAGGTAAACATGCCCAGTCAGATTTCTTTTAAATCAACTGGGTGATTTCCTTTAAACGGCAGTAAAAAATAAAAAGCACAATAAATGATAGACCAAACGTTTGACTTGTAGGTTCACAAACTGCGCTTTACTTTTATTCTCTACCAATAAGAGAAACAAAAGAAACATGTACAAGACACTTCATAAATATCTAAGAATCTCTTTAAAATTGTAGCACTGAATTTCATATCTTTTACAAAACATATGTACAAAGTTGCAGTCTGGACTCTTAAAATGACATCTTCTACAAGATTTACATATGAATAGAGTTCAACAAGTATGTACACTCAACCAGACATGCAAGCGAAATTGTGACGCATTTTGAAGACTACACAGGAAAAGGATTTCTACAACAGCTTGGAGTCAGACAACAGAAGCCATTTACACATTAATACTCCACTAAAATATTTCACACAGATCTACAAAACCAACACAGGTTTACAGATTCTGCCTGCTAAAAAGTGCATACCCGACTCTGGTTTTCTGGTTCAAAACACAAATAAGCTCAAATGACACACAAATTACCAAAGGGATCATGAGGCTTGAAAAGGAAACTGGTGGAAATAAATCATTCTTTTAAACAGACCAAAGGAAATGTTGTTCCACATCGGTTTAAAAAATATTTGGCCTTTTTTCTGAAGTTCTATTCAGCAAACCTAGTATGGCTGCTGGTTAACACTTGAACCTTTGACCACAAGAGGGAAGTCAAGCTCACATTACAGAGCTACAGATTTTCTATAGATGGTACATACACATCCTATCATTTAAGACTCTCCAATTGATGCTAACCAACAATTTATCATCAGTGGAAAGATAGCTTGATAATCTTTGAAACAACCTGCTAAGGGGCTGTTGAGGGACCCTGAAGAATATACAGTGAACATGAACTGGTGCAGAACCACCTGCAACAACTTAAAGTTAACTGCTGCTTCACTAGACTAGCATTTTTCCTCCTCTTGCAGAGTATAAGCCGGAATGGTGTTGTTGCTTACAGGAAAGCATCTATTCACATCCTACCCTAAAACACATTGGTAGTTTAGAAAACTAGAGATGGTATTGAAAATGATGGAACAGAACATACCCACATCCTGTATAATGCTGACAAAGTCACAAACAGAGCGGCTGTTAGCTGAGATATCACAATTCTTGAATAGCATATTTACAAGAATACACAAATAAATAAAATATTTCCAGAAACTCATTTGTCTTGACTCATATCAAGTACTAACCTTCTCAATCTTTTTTTCCCATCATTCGTGATCTAAAAGCCACAGACAACAGCTAAGATGTTTGTGACAATTAAAAGTTGACAAATGATCTTTTCCTCACAAAGTATCAACAAGTTCATTGCTTTCAAATTAGACCAGTGAACGAAAAGAGCTTGACTACAACAAAACCAATAGTCTGTAAAAAAAATCCTTCATAACGTATTCATGCCATCCATCAAATCTGGAAGTCGGATAGACACCTGCTCGTTTAGAGTCACGACTGGCGTCACTGTTATAGGGTTTATAAAAGGAACAGGTTTTTTTGGCCAATGTTCAGACATGTGATGAGGGTGCTGATTTGTGATAGGTCCCAGTGGGTGCCGTTCCAGCTCGGGCTGTGAGAGCGGCACTGGCCTCGCTGTACATGGACGACCCTGATACAGGTGGCTTCCGGGTCCTACAGGGCATGTACCGTGCCACAAAGCACCTCCAAGACTCCAGAGTCTTCCCTGACCAGATCCAAACACCTGAGGTAATGCCTACTACAAGACACATGAAGTACTTCAACATGAAGACAGCATAATCCGGGCCCATGCCGAGCCTCTGGCGCTCTGACGGGCAAGAACAGGCCAGCGCCCGCTCCCAGGCTGGCCTGTAATGTTGCTCATACACCAAACATGCTACCACAATAGTTGCGGGCACCGTGTACAGGACGGTGAAGAGCCCAATCCGGATCATTAACTTCTCTAGCTTGTCTGTCTTGGTGCCGCCCTGTTTAATGACACTACGGATCCGGAAGAGGGAAACAAAGCCAGCAAGCAGGAAGAGGGAGCCGGTGAAGAGGTAGACGACCAGAGGCGCCAATACGAAGCCACGCAGGCTCTCCAAGCTCTGGTTGCCGACGTAACAGATCCCAGCCACAGGGTCCCCATCCACCGAACTCAAAGCTAAGACAGCGATGGACTTGACGCTGGGAACAAGCCAAGCAGCAAGGTGGAAGTACTGAGAGTATCCCGCGATGGCCTCATTCCCCCATTTCATCCCTGCTGCCAGGAACCAGGTGAAGGAAAGCACCACCCACCAGATGGAGCTGGCCATTCCAAAGAAATATATGAGCAGGAAAACCAGGGTGCAAAGGGCTGGACCCGTGGTGTCATAGAGGATGTGTTGTTGGTCGCCGGAGCCCTCGCAAGCTACTCGCTCATGGCCCGCGAGAAGTCGCACGATGTACCCCAGCGACACGAACAGATAACAAGCAGCAAGGAAGATAATCGGCCGCTCTGGGTATTTGAAACGCTCCATGTCAATGAGGAAAGTGGCCACGGTGGTGAACGTCGAGACGAAGCACAGCACCGACCACAGTCCGATCCAGAAGGTTGTGAAGGTACGCTCATCGGGGGAAAAATAAGGTTGGTGGCAGGGCAAAGCACAGTTGGGTAAAGAGCCAGTATACACTCGGTTATGGAGAGGATGGACTTCTTTTTTGATGGGCACCAGAGGGTCTCGACAACGGCAATCACGGTCACACTTCTGCGGCGGAGCAGATTTTGCAGTGGCTCTATGTCGTGGTGTTCCCTTGGGAGTGGGTTTGGGGAAAGGAGGTGATAGAGTCGTAGTCTCACTGCTGGTCCTGTCCATACAAAGCCGGTCGGTGTCACCCAGCATGGGCAGCTGCTCGCAGCTCATCCGCTCTGGCCACTCAAACCCATACTGGATCATGAGAGGGGAGCAACCCCGTTTAGCTCTCTCGCACACAGACCTGCAAGGCGGCAGGGGTTTTTTGTAGTCCTGAAGACAGATGGGGGTGTACATACTGCACAGAAAGAAAAGCAAGTCCGGAGAGCAACGGATCCGGACAAGCGGCCAAAACTGGTGCACTTCCAAGCCGACTTCATCCTGGGTGTCATGATTGAACTGGTTGGGCATGTAGGTGTGATTGTATCCGATCCCTTTGCACATCGGTACGGTGATTGGCTCACACACTATATCCTTAGAGGCAGCATTGCCGAGCCGAGACAGTTGCAACAGCAGCAGAACGTGAAGCCAAAATCCGACTAGGTGCATCCCAGAAGTCTCCATGGTGAAATGATGCTTATCTGCAGGTTCTCTCATACTGGAAAACTATGAATTTCAATTCTTGAGTATTTTCTCAGCTCAGGTTTTCCCCCCTTCCTTCCTTTTTTAATTTATTGCTGCGTTTCGGAAAGAAGAAATCCCAAAAGGAAACCTTAATTGCTCCAGCAGCATGTCCACAGTCCACAAGGTTGTAAATCACAGTGAAGTTTCATTCCAGATCCCGAGCACTCTTTCTTCCAACTGTGTGAGTGCATTTCAAACAGACCATGATTCTCACACAGACACTGAAACACGGGCTGAAAGAGTAAAATAACAACTTTAGTTAAATCAAACAATAGCTTAATAATTCGACAGAAAATCATAAACATATAATTGAGCGGCAGAACGTACCGTGGAAAAGCACGCGCAACCGTAGACTGAATGGTCAATCATTCACCGAGTAAACCGTGTTAAGGTCGAAAGTTCATTTCCCGCAGATACTTTGTAAGAAAGTAACATTTTAAGCGTCGGTTTCCTTTCGTATCTGCTTTAAATTCCACATGGCAGGTGAATCCATCCAAAGAATGCAATCCGGTGGATTCACAACAAAAAAGACGCCGAAAAAGCAAGAAGAATAAAGAGAAAATAAATCTGATGTGCGAAAATGAAATCCTTTTTTAAGAGTATAATAAAGGTAAATAATATTATTAATAATAAAATAAAATAAAAAAAAATCACCTTTCGCGTTAATCCTCAGGCCAACAGGTTTCAGGTGCTTCCTGATATTTCCTTCAGTGTGTTTGGCAGCAGTCCACTGGAGTCCTTTCACACACTTTAACATGTATAAATTCCACACTAAACTCTTTTTAAGAGATCTCAACAAATTTGTTGAGATCGCGTTTTTCTGTGTGTTCCCTCTGTTGGCTGCGGAGCCAGTAATTACTCACTCCGTAGAGGTGCAGTGGAGTGAAAATACTCCACCCGCCATGACACGCCCACAACTTTCAGGCCCCAACCCCTTTTTACCAGGGGCCACTGACAGACAATCATCTATCTATCTATCTATCTATCTATCTATCTATCTATCTATCTATCTATCTATCTATCTATCTATCTATCTATCTATCTATCTATCTATCTATCTATCTATCTATCTATCTATCTATCTATCTATCTATTGCTCGTCTGTCTGTCAATTAATAAGTCTTAAACTATGACATGTTATCCACCCTCAATTACTGTAAATAGAAAACGTGATACTTGATAGAACAATGGGTGAACATGAAATTCATGTTAGTCAAAAAATACCAGGAAGATGCCACACGTTGGCTACTCCTCTAACCATAATGAGGATGTTTAAATTAGTCAGTGGAGATTTAGGGGCACCGGCGAGTGTGTGTGTGTGTGTGTGTGTGTGTGTGTGTGTGTGTGTTTGACTATGAAAAGGCCTTGAGTCTCTCTTGTGCAAGTGTATCCTGTATTACGTTTGCGTTTACCCTCTAGGCCCATTCAGGACAGATGGAGCTGTGCAAACACTCAGATAATGACTCCTAACACAAGCTTAATCACTCACGCCTCAACAAGACAAAGAAAGCAACCGAGAGGAGCACCTTGCCACACTGATACTCTGCTTGTGAACTAGTGTGCACTATGATGGCATTTCTAGGTCAGAGTTCATTTGTGATGTTATGAATTGTCAACCCCCCAAAAAAAAAAAAAATATGTGTGTCCAGTTTTGTGAAGCACTGAACATACATCTGTAAATCTTCATGACTTATGGTTGCATGATCATGTGGATGATTTGGACAATTTTGCCACACTGAAGTATTTTAAATGAAGGAAAATATAAATATTAGAAGGAAAAATGTTTCTGAAATGTTGCCTTGACAACTGACAGAATTTGAATAAATTCGAATTGAAGTACTTAAATTACTAAAACAAATTATTTTTTTTAAAGAAAAACCAATACAATTGACAAAATCACATCAACAAAAAAAAAGGAATTACAAATTCTAAGAAATATTATTAGTGTATAAATAATACTTAAATAATACAGTCAGCCACATTTAAAAATGTATGAATAGCATTGCATTAAATAACAAAGTGGCATGTATTTGAAAAAGCTGCCCAAACACACTTTCCAACAATATATTGAACACTAAGACATTGAACACTTTCTGGTTGTCAAACAGTGGACCAAGTTCATAGGGAGGAATTAGACCTGTGTAAAGGAAAAAATTACATCATACATCTTCTAGAAATCACTTTTTGAACAGGTTTAAATATCATTGCAAAAATGGCTCAGAAACTGGGAGCAACTGTATAATACCGATAAAGCACATTCATTCAAAATATTGTGCTTTTTTAAGAGAGAATTGTGACCAACTATTGCCCATTTCCTACACGTCTGGACTGGCGATATACTGCTCCTCCGTGCACTTACTCAGACAGGAAGCATGTTTTGGAATTCTTCACAAAAGGGTTTCTCTCTCTCTCTCTTTCTTTCTTTCTTTCTCTCTCTCTCTCTCTCTCTCTCTCTCTCTCTCTCTCTCTCTCTCTCTCTCTCTCTCTCTCTCTCTCTCTCTCTCTCTCTCTCTCCCGCCCTCTCATTGTTGATTCAGTATTCTGTAATCTCACAGCTTTCTATAAGTCCAAAGTTCTCACAGGGTGTGTGCCAGTATGTGTGTGTGTGTGTTCAAAAGTGCAAGTGACCAATCCGCCTGCTCCGTCAGGTATTTCTAATGCTCGATTAACACTTAGATGACATCAGCTCACAGAAAGTCTGAGAGGACGAGAGTAAACAGAACTCTACATGCCACAGACTTGCTTAGGGAATCAATCATTGAGACAGACATGACCATTACATTGTTTTCCTTGCAACGCTCGGGATGTTTGATTGTGTCTTAAATGCTATGGCAACCGAATCAATCTTGCCAGCCATTTGTGCACCTGTTTCATAGGTTACCTACGAACTTTGTCACACATTAACTACAAAACCCCACCTTAAGGAGTCACACAAACGCCAACTGACTTCCTTTCAGTATACTGTGTCCTTAATACAGTTAGGCCTTGCGAGGGAAATTGCTAGCCTACTTGTATCGAAAGGACTTGGGGAGGAAATAGCCTGATTAAAATCAGTCTCGCTCATGCTCTAGATAAGTCGATCTTGTATTTACTTTAGTTGAGCTGTAGAGATGATGTTGAAGCGAGATGAGGTGTGGTGTCTGTTGTGCTTCATGAAGTCTCCTGAGCATGAAAACATCCCATGGTGGTTGGATTTTCCTCTTTTTTCTCTTATTCACTCCCTCTTCCCTTTCTTTACATGCCTGAACATGTGTTTGGGCATCTGATACACAACTCTTCATGTCTGTGGATGGACAATTCATACAATGACAGCATGATGCAGTCTTAACCTTAAATCATAATCCCATCCTTATTTGTTTTTCTGTTTTCCTCAAGAGAAGATTATATGATATGTGATGCTCTGGTTGTATTTATGAGAAGTACACTGATATGTAATTGAAATAGCTTTTGTTAGATATATTGGAAGCACAATGTTAAAAAATTGGTCAATATAACAACAGGACTACTTTACAAAATATATTTAATTATAGTTATTTACACACACTACAATTTTATTTATTTTTATTTTATTTATTTATACTTGTTTTCAATACTTATTTATACTTAATCAATACCTTTATTCAGCAAGGATGCATGAAATTGATTAAAAGTGGCAGCAAAAATGAATTTTTACAAAGTATTTGTATTTACAAAAAAGAATTTACAAAAATATTTGAATCTTTACATTTTAAACAAATTTTGGGGCATGCATGGGTCTAAAGTGACCAGATTATATATATATATATATATATATATATATATTTGCAAGAAATTAATTTTATTATTCAGTATTCTAGGTATTCCTCAATTAACTTGTTTTAGATCATCATTACAAATCCTTATTTTAAACTTTCCTTTCTTACTTTTCGAAAAAAAATCTTTGTGTCACTTGCCTTCGAATGCACGTGGGTCTAAAATGGCCCATCTTATTTCAATCATGGCTGAGTGTTTGTTTGTTTTCTTTAAAAGAAATGTATTTTAAAATTTATTAATGCAGGTATTCATTAAATATCTTGATTTTGATTTCCACAAATCATTATGTTTATTTTTTTTTTCTTACATTACAAACAAACACAGTTTTGGGCCCCATGTACTCACTATGTACTGTTTTGTGCATTTATATATCCTACAATGATATCATATTCAGTGTAAATTATAGCTTGCCTGCTAAACATCAATATTTGTGTAACACAACTTTGCATAAGAAGATCCCAAACAAATGAGCATGAAAAAGCAGAACACAGCTGATGTGGAGGAGTGTTATTGCTCAGCGGTCCCACGTGTTTAAGCGGCAGGTGGACGTTAGGAAACCAGAGGGTTGAAGCAGACATTCTCTAACCCCTTTTACACGAGAACTGGACCCCGGCGCTCCATCCCATGTCACCATTGTCTCCACCCCTCCTGCCTCCATTCTGCCGTCGTCTTTTTCTCCTTAAACCGCCCTTTTGTTGTCTTTTTCTGATGGCATTTCTGGCCCCTTGTTGTCAGAGTCCTAAATGAGTCTTGACTGGCCTGTGGGCCACTGGAGAAGCACAAAGGAGAGCGTTCCGCTCGCTACAGTGGAGCTATTGTTGCTTTCAACAATGCACTAATTGGCGACGACAATTAAGCACGACCAACACTCAGGTTCAATTTGCCCACTCCTCAATACAAATCACAGGCAAATGAGTCAGACCGTGCACACACAGCTCACACACACATTCACACGGTCCTGCTATAATAACAGCTATTCTCATAAGCATAGTGCAACTACCAAATATATGCTCCCACCCCTTCAGCAAGTTCATGTTAGCTGTGAAGGGAAATACTGCTGAGACTCAAACTGTGAGGAGGGTGAAACAAGAACAGGCTGTTCAGCTTGTCCAGACGGATAGGAAATTCCACAAAAGCTATTTTCTTTTAAATAATTTTTATTTATTGCATTGCAATTATGATTTTATTTTTATATATAAAAAGATTTGACAAAAAATATGCTTTGATACTTAATAAACACAGTATGTACTGTGTTTGTTTCTCTTTTTTAAGGTACAACTGCAGCAAATTTTATGTATTGTTCTGTGTGTGAAAAAAAAAAAAAATCAGTATATCCCTAAAAACATCCCCTCGACACACACACACACAAAATCTTCACCGTTCCAAAAAAAAAAGGACACAACAAGTCCAGATATGTGTGAAAACACCCATCTTAAAGGCATCTTCAGCATTGAGCTGTCACACATTAAGACCGTAATGGAGTCTGGGATCAGCAGGACGCCTCGATCTTAAGCCGAGGCTCGAAAACCGGCTTTAGGAGTTAGGGAACAAGCACATTCTCACAAAAACACACACAAAGGAGGAAAGACTTGGCATGTTCCGGCCCATCGGCAGTGGTTGGATTCTCGTGGATTATTCTCTGTCAGAGAAAGGCTTTAGAGCTCTCTAAGGCCAGGACAAATTACTGTTCTCTTTCAAGAGAAGAAAAAAGCAGTTGAGGAGGAAAAAAACATGAGGGAAGTGTTGAAAAAGTAAACCAAGGAGAGGAGGAAGCGTCTGGGGTGGCCGGCCATTAGCTTAACCGAGACATCACTCAGACAAGAATCGGGAAAGGTTTGCGAAACTATATTAAACAAGCCTGGTTCTTTTTTTCTTTCCGGCACATGTAAGGTGATGAAAGTGAATATATGGAACAGGGGAAAAATACAGGTGTTCACTAATGTGACTACATGGAAGTGTCCAAATACAGTTTAAATTGTTTTCATATTCAAATATGTGTGTGTCTCTGTGTGTGTATATGGTTACCTATTAAGTTCCGTATAAATGACAAAGTATTACTACTGACCTAAAGCCCTAAATAGCTCCTGTGTATTTAATGGACTTTCTATCGGCCTACAATCCATCGCGTTCTTTAAGATCACTAAATTCGATGTTTCTGGTCATTCCTAAGGATATCTAAGTCGTTCTCACATTTAGCTTCTAAACTCTGGAACAGCCTTCCTGATATTGTTCGAGGCTCAGACTCGCTGTCCCAATTTAAAACTAGATTAAAGACTCAACACTTCAGCCAAGCATTCACATAATGCTTACCTTTTATACCAGTGTTGAATCAGTTTGAATGCATTAATATTATGAACAGCAGCTATGCTAATTATTTCCCATCTGCTTTTCTGCTGTTATCTCGGGACAGCGCCTGTGAAGAGACAACTCAATGACAGCAATATGTAATTTTTTGTAATTTCAACAAAAACTAATTTATGCTAGTCAGTTAAATAATGTAGTATCCATTATAGAAAACCAAATGCTTAAGTTTTTACAGGCATAAACATAAAAAGGCATTGGATCTGTAAGTTTCAAGAAAGTGTCATCAGAGCACTTTTCAGTCAACTGGTCCGAAACTCACTCACACTGGCCCTGGGCCAGCGGAACATCCTCAGTGTTGAGATAGGTTGGACAAATATTTAAAATGCCTTGATGAAGAAAATATCTCCATGGTAACTGTTCTCAATAGAATCATATCACATCAAAAGTCTGAATTTCAAATGTTTATATGTCAGTAACACTGCAAAAAAATTAGAAGCCTCATGCTGTGGTCTCTAACAGGTCTAGTGGTTGTTGGTACAACTCCAAACAGAACCAGATACAAGCATGTGGCTTTTAATTTGGGATTAGCTTGTGATTCAGTGCTTGGACCCACTCCGGTGCACCAGGACCCAAAAGGGAACACCACAGCCACGGCCATGATGCATTTATTCCACTGCTCCCTTGGATTCTGACCAGGAAAATAATCCGCGGAGAATCGAAAATACTTTGCAAAATCCTAAAAAGTCAATTTAGATGACGCCATTAGTGTTGGAGCATAAAAAGAGCACAATGTGTTGTTAACTAATTTTCTTTATTGGCAACAGTGGTAAAAAAAAAGGCAAAGAAAAGAAGAGGAAAACTGGAAGGAGCCCACACCAGTTTTGAAACACAAATATTTGTCGTTGCAAGAGGTTGTCTGTAATGGAGAGTTTACAGAGTACAAGAAAGCACAGGGAAAATCCCAGAAACTGATACAGAAATTGCAGTAAAGTATATAAATACAATAAATAAGTCTGAAACAAAACTGACATGTAAATATACAACTGAGAACAAGATGACAGCAGGAAAAAAAAAATCCATTACACCTTCAACAAACATGAAAATAAAAGACCAATTTGGTGTACTGAAAGAACAAAAGATATTCACCAAGTACATCCACTGAGTTCCCTTTTTGTTTGTCCCTTTATTCATTGTGTTTAGAATCCCTGATTTTAAAGAACAGTATGAATAATGCAATGTAACATGATACATAAAACTTTCAAAGCGAACATGTTCTTACAGTAACATGTAAAAGCTCAGTTCAAGTTTAAAATGGTGTAATGACAACATCTCTGATTTTGGGAAAATTCCTTTTTTTAACAAGATAAGTAAAGGCCTTTGCCTTCAAATACCAACATGATTAAGTGATTATATTACAATATATTCTATAGCCTGATATTCTGATTAGATTAAATACTGAAACATTATTTGCTTATAGCTTGCTAATCGAAGAACATCAACAGGCCAATGCGTTGGCTTCCAATTTAGGGCAGGCAAACAAACACAGATTCAATAAATACAACCAAATGTTCCAAAGCGATCATCCATCCACCATTTTTACATCATTCTATCACACACAAACCACATGTAAACCAAGACTGAATCTCATTTAGAAGTAAACTTCTCGGTGCAAAATAAGCTCAAAAAATAAAATAAACACGTTCTCACAAACAAAATGTAACATGGTAGCAAATGATATGTAAATTGACTTGGACCCATCTGAAAGAGTTCAATTAATGTTATTCGTTGGCCAGTAACAAACTAAAGATGGTTTGTCAAAGTTTCAGAATCAGTTTGAATATTTCACATCCAGTATAACCAGTAACTTGTAGGCGATTTTTGAATTAGTAAAGCTGAATGTGATTTATATCGAACACTTTGTTTGCTGGCGAGGTGTCCAGGAAGAGAGACACTGCTCTTTTCTCCTACAGAAGAAAAGAAAACGGTAAATGAGAAAATTAGATTTAATTGTTATTCTCGGGATTCAAGGGAACACTAAAATGTCGGTCGGCTCGCTAGGTCATTTTTTGTATCGTCCACGTATTGTCGAACTAGAGAACAACAGGTCTGGTCGAAGAACAGCAAGTCAAATAAGGCAGCAAAAGCAAAACAAGTGACTTTATTGCCAATTCTAAGTTCAAGTAGCAAGAAAACACAGTATGTGCGCAGAGAGGCAGCGTGGATCAAAAGCAGAGGTCAGTTAGACATGAATTATGAGCTCGTCCACGGCGGGTTTGCTTTACGTTTCTTGTTAAATAGACGTATGAATGCTAAACAAAGCCCTGGAACTCTAGACTGTAATTTTGGGGTTTGGTGGCTGAGGGTAGCTTGTAATCTTAGACCAGGCGGTTAGCAAGAACAACGTGGTTCGGCTGCTTATAGGCAGTGCCATTGAGTGTTGATAAACAGTAAACTTCAGCTGGACGGGACAAGACAGCAGTCCTAGTTCATGTTACACAACTCAAACCTTCGGTCTACAAAGCTCAAAGCATAACGGATTTAAAATGAAAACTGTGACTAAAAGTGCAATGAACTTATGTATATATAAAAAAAAACATTGGACAAATTGTAAATGCAATAATGAAATCATGTTAAAAACATAAAAAAAGATATTTTTGCCTAATGATGTTCATCTTCATGTTCAATATCAAGGTTCTTCGGCATCGTAGGTTAACTACAGCGTGGAGGGAAACCGAATGGAGTGGCCAGACAGCCATCTTGCAGCGCTCATTTTCACCAAACAATTAATGGATTAGAAGCTCTATTTGTGTCCAGAAATTGGTTTGAATCATCACTCTTGGATTGTGAGTCTGCCCAAAAAGTGCAATATTTTACATCAGTCAGTGAGAGTGTTTATGTGCAAGTGTGTGAATGTACTATGCCTGTATTTGTCGGTTGGCCCTGACTGTCATTTGGTAGATGAAAGGGAAGGGTAAATTGGTATCATTATGAAGCCTCTGCTCTTCAGGAGCTGAATTATTGTCTCTGTGCCCATCTCTCTCAGGTGAGGGAGAATGTAAAAAACAAAAAAAATTCCTCTGTTTCTCGGTTTTCAGGGAGCACTTCCACCGAAGGACGACAGTATCTTGTGCTTCTTGGATACAGCAGCACTCGGACTTCATTAGTGCAGTGTGTTCAGGTGTCCAGCTCAAAGCAGTCTAGCACTTGATCATCGGGGCTGTCGTGAGGGCCGTGCCTCCTCCAGAATGACGCCGGCTTCTTGTGCAGTTCTCTGCGTACACATCGCGGGCACGGCTGAGCTCGCATCCGACACTCGGCGTGGAAGACGGCTCCGCAGCCATCGCATCTGCAGTCAAAACAGAAGAACGCTGATGGTTGATCCAAACATTCATTGATACTCAAAACGGTTCTGTCTCTGCTCTTGTCTGAATTTATAGTCTATGTATATGTGTATATATATATACACACACACACACACACACACACACACACATACATATACAGTTGTCAACATTTGAAGTAGATCAAAACCTTCCATCACAGTTATAGATGGATTTTGAATACCCGTTCTTGTCTTGGGACAAGTTTGATGAACTTTTTTGATGAATTGAACACCTGTTCAATTTGTCATTAATGCAATAATTATCTAATCAACCAATCACATGGCAGTTGCTTCAATGCATTTAGGGGTGTGGTCCTGGTCAAGACAATCTCCTGAACTCTGAATGTCAGAATGGGAAAGAAAAGTGATTTAAGCAATTTTGAGCGTGGCATGGTTGCTGGTGCCAGACGGGCCGGTCTGAGTATTTCACAATCTGCTCAGTTACTGGGATTTTCACGCACAACCATGTCTAGGGTTTACAAAGAATGGCGTGAAAAAGGAAAAATATTCAGTACGCGGCAGTCCTGTGGGCGAAAATGCCTTGTTGACGCTAGAGGTCAGAGAATGGGCCGACTGATTCAAGCTGATAGAATATAATAACCAGAACAACTTTGACTGAAATAAGCACTCGTTACAACCGAGGTATGCAGCAAAGCATTTGTGAAGCCACAACACGCACAACTTTGAGGCGGATGGGCTACAACGGCAGAAGACGCCACCGGGTACTACTCATTTCCACTACAAATAGGAAAATGAGGCTACAATTTGCAAGAGCTAACCAAAATTGGACAGACTGGAAAAACGTTGCCTGGTCTGATGAGTCTCGATTTACGTTGAGACATTCAGATGGTAGAGTCAGAATTTGGCAAAAACAGAATGAGAACATGGATCCATAATGTCTTGTTACCACTGTGCAGGCTGGGGGTGGTGGTGTAATGGTGTGAGGGATGTATTCTTGGCACACTTTAGGCCCCTTAATACCAATTGGGCATTGTTTAAATGAAACAGCCTACCTGAGCATTGTTTCGAACGATGTCCATCCCTTTATGGCCACCATGTACCCATCCTCTGATGGCTACTTCCAGCAGGATAATGCATCCCTTATGTGTGTGTGTGTGTGTGTGTGTGTGTGTGTGTGAACACAGTACATGTCCTTTAAAATATATTTTATGCAGGCTAAAAAGGTTAGTCCCAGTATAGAACTACTACTTCCTTTACAAGATCAATTAGGAGCTCAAGGGCTCCTCATTCCTCTAAAGAGAAGCGACTTCTCTCTGTGCACCATCATGGGCGGTAGTTGCCCAGTGGTTAAAGTTTTTGGGCTGCCAAGCCAAGACCTAAACCAAGATCACTGTTGGCAAAGAGGTTGTGCAATACTAACCAGAAATACTACTGGTGGTCTATTCCTGAAAACGGTCTGCTTTGCACAAAAGCATAAAAAGGCCTTGTCCTTATTAAAATTTTAGAAAGGCATTCCTCTTGATCTAATATGATTTTCTACAATTAGTCATTTTTAGTAAGCAGAACCCCAGAACTGAAAAAGTCTTGCAATCTGAAGCATGCCCAACATAAATAAAACCTAAAGCATGATAACAAGATAATACTAGCTGACAGGATGTCTATTTTAAATGGGCCTCTATAAATAAATTATTTATTTATAACAGTAAGGATCCAAAAGCCATGGTGTGGTGTACTTGGGCTGTGGTGTACTTGCTCATCAGAGAGGTGTGGTGGTGATTTGTGGAATTTATGGATTTACAGTGGGGCGTGGAAACACCCTCTGCTCTTATGATAGCACAGTAGTGGCCTTTTGAGCATGTACTATTACATATACAACATGAAGTGCATACAAACACACCCATGAAATTCTGGATAAACTAAACAGGCCACACATTAAAGCGGTTAATGCAACACCTGGATCCAGCTGTACTAACAGACATGCTCAATCAAGCATGGACAGATGCGACTGTGTCTATCAGTGAATCAATATGTTGAATAGTAAGGCTGTAAAACGATTTATATAATTAAATGCAATGAATCTCCTCAAGCATTCATTCCTTTTTTAGGAGAGAAAATAAAACACTGTCTTGTCTCAGAAAAAAATATAATATAAAATACATAATATATATATAGATAAATATTCTGAATTTTATATGCATTTTTAAAAAGCAAATACTATATATATATACAATTTATTTATTTTACAATTATTAACATTTTCCATACTTCTAAAATAAAAGCATGTAAAATGTATGATATTATATATATATTTTGTATTCTTTTTTTGTATTTTGTTTTAAAGGTCTCGCTCCATACATACTTATACATACTTTATAGATCTGCTAAAAAATAAAATATTTTCCCCATTTCATATTTAAACTTTCGATATACATCGTCTAATTTTCTGTAGACTGGTCAGAATAGAAATAACAGAAATATCGAAAGTTTAAATCCGAAATGGGGAAAAATATTTCAACTATTTTAGATAAATGCAACTTATCTAATTCATTTCAAAATGCAACACAGCCCTAACCAATAGTCATTGAGGCTTTATCAGTGTTGCCGTGTGAGGAGCTATGTTTAAATAGCAGCATCTGTTCTGGGAACTGCACTCCACTTCGCTGGAGAGTCCGAAAGATTCTAGTCACACTGGTGCTAAGAAGACCAGAGAGCGGTTTATCAGCTGCAGGCCAACACACAGCCTGCTGAAAAAAAGGCTGAGATGGTCGAAGGATTAACTGTCCCCTCACAAAGGGTGTACTATCGCAGCATCATCACACCTCAATCCACCACCCGCTGGGTGTGACTAACATGACACAGAGGCTGGACAATCATCAGCAATGAGCTGCGGACCATTGGACAGATAACTGGCACTTATATAAACCACACCTGTGGTTACACTGAGTCTAGTTAGTGAAAAATAATTGCAACAATGGCTGAAAAGTTATGCTGCTTTTATTTTTTTTAGGCCACTGTATGTACACTGTAAAAAAATATTGATGGTTTAACTTAAAAAAGTAACCTGGTTGCCTTAATTTTAAGTTCATTGAACTGGAAAAAGTGAGTTAATACAATGAAGGAGCTTAATTTAACCATCAGAAACTCAGAATTATATGTTATCTGAACTAAATAAATTATTTAAGTTGATTTGACAAAAGAAAAAAATGTTATGATTACTACACTGAAAAAAAAAAATATTGTTGGTTTAACTTAAAAAAATAAGTAACCCGGGTTGCCTTAAAATTTTAAGTTGATTGAACTGGAAAAAGTGAGTTAATACAATGAAGGAGATTAATTTAACCATCAGAAACTAAAAATAATAAGTAATCTCAACTAAATAAATTGTTATAAAGTTGATTTGACAAAAGAAAATATGTTGTGATAACAAATCTTGAAATTTTTTTTTACAGTGTAGCATCGAAACGACATTTAGAGGTGAAACAGCGGCTACATGTCTCACCTTCTGGTGGAATTCTCCTGGAAGGGATAGATGACCTGACCATTTTGGCAAAGCTCACAAATGAAGCCCTTCTCCCGGCACAGACTACAGCTGTAGACGTGAGAGCTGGCAAACTTGATCACCTTAGAGAGGAAGGGAGCAAGCTTTCCATCTATGACCTGCAGAAAAGAGAAAGACATTACAAAAGTGAAAACTGTAAGCATTCCATAACTGAGGGGTCACAATAGAAGTCATTTTATTTCACTTTAACATTATATAGTTATTTTTGCTGGAAATAAGGTTATTACGACACCAAAAGTTTAGATTCCAATCAAATTGTACAATCCTCAACACCACTTTCACAGAAAAAAACTGTTAGGAATAAAATAAGGAACTAATTACAAGCAAAAAGGACAAATAAATGCAACAGAACAAATATACAAATATTTATGTTTTGCTGGTAGGTCTTTAGAATAAATATTACAGAAATGTTAGATGTAAAGCCACGCTGTGTGAGCAGCAGCTTTTTGTAAATGATATACTTTTGTGACAGCGCAGCACTGCAACCTCATAAGAGCGTAACCGCAGTTGTTATACAACACATTTTGCCATACTCTACCAGTATGTCGCTCACCCTTACAAGACTGAATCTTGAAATTTACAGTAATCATCTTTTTAACAGTTAGAGGTCTATCTGAGATTTTTAGCGACAGGACAAACACTTAAGAACAAGCTACAATGGGAGCGAAGTACAAAAAAAACAAGAAGAAAAAAAGACATCACATCAGGAATCCACATGAAAACTAATGAATGCTTGGGGGAGAGTGAGGGGCTGGCTATGGATCGAGGGTGGGGTAATTCCTTTCGGGAGTCTGTTTGCAAAAAATAATATGTGAATGCCATTTATCGGCCAGAGTAGTTAAAAATCGGCCTGGTCTTTGAAAGCGGGGCGCTGAAGAAGGTGTATTGTGGGATGTTGAATGAGACAGGGGAAGGGGCCTAGACCTCCAGTGCATATTCACCAAGGGGGCAGAGACAAGTGGCTACACCTGGCAGCACTGCAGCACACCAATTAAAGGGCCTGCCAGCATTCTTCAGCCCTTCCACAAGGATGGAGGAGGAGAAGAGGGGACAGTGGAGCAGGAGAGGGTGGGACGGGAAGGCTCGAGGGAAAAGAAAGAATAAAAGGAGGACCACCGCAGTCTCCCACGAAAGACACGCACACACATATGCAGCGTGAGTGGGGAGAATGGGTTGAAAAGGGGAAGGTTTGTGTGGGAACAGTGAAACTAGACTCTACAGCCATGACCAAAGTTACTAGATGATGTGTTTAGTTACTTAAAACATGGTGTGTAGGGTTTACATTTATGCACTGGGCAGAACTTGTATCCAAAGCGACTTAGGTGGGATTCATGGAACATGTTTTATCAGTTCTTGCCTCCCCTTGGAACCCCATGACCGCTAGTGCAAATCTCTAATGTTTGAGCTACAAGGTTTATTGGAAGGTATATTTATACACCGAATACTTTATGATTTTCTGGCGATATAAGATTTAGTAACACAGAAGCATTTTAAATCTATTTGGCAATAATTTTGTTGATCATTGTTGCAGATGGTTCCTCTAACTGAAAGACAAACGACAAAAATAATAATTTTAAGACATTTCAAAGCAAAAATAACGCAGATGTACATATATAATATAGTATATAAATATTTATAGATAATATTAAACACTTTTTTTTAGATTATATTACATAGTCAAAAGGCTTTTGCTTTCACACCTGCCTCTTTTAGTCCGGTTGAACCTCACTTTTTGAGTTTGTTGTCCCTCTTGGTGCGGTTTGTTTGGGCTGGTGTGAATGTAGCAATCGCACGCGCACCAAAAGCAGACCAAACAAGCGTACGAGACCTCCTCGAAGGAACCTAAACGCCTGAAAAACGCTACAAAGTATCATTTTTTTCGCCCTTGGTACGGACAAAATCAACCGAACCATAGATGTGAAAGCACCCTTAACGCCAAATCGTGTTCTCAAAATGTAATAATACTAATAATTATCATCATCAATTTTATTTAGCGCCTAATATTAGCTTATACTTTACATAAGAAGCTTTAAGGTGCTTAAAAAAAAATAAAGAAAAATAATAAAATCTGTCAGATTAACCCTCTGTGTCAGTGTCGGTCAAAAATAACAGATTGTTTTTATTATTATTCCAATGAAATGACTGTACTATATTTTAATTAATTCATCATCTTTTTTATTTAATATTTTTGGGCATTTTAAGGTTTTAAATTATATGTATGCAATAGTTATATAATCCATTTATTCACTTTTTTTGAGCATGGACCTGAAAGTTGAATTTCATCTTGAACGCTTTGGAGCACAAACATACGTTTTCTTTCTTTTTAAAGACAACACTTGGTAGACTTGGTAGGATTTTTTTAGATGAAATATATATATTTTCCAAAACACATTTTACTCTAAAACTATGAGAAAATCAAGGCCATTAATCTAAACAAGCTGTGTTTCAAACTTGAGGTTGATATCTCAAAAAATGTGCTTTTCAACATTTAATAATTCACTATAAGAAAAAAATCTTTACATTCCACTAAAGCACTGCCCAAGTCAAAAAGACAAAAGGCAGAAAGACCCACATGCAATAAAGTAGTCATTGCCCAATGAACATAAAGGTGAAGCTGTTGGCAGGCTTTCTCGGTTCAGACAACAGGAGAGCCCTTAACCATCCATCCATCAAGTGGCTTCCAGTTCAGAGTCAGGCACTCCTGTTTTTCTCTGCCCGGGCTGACAGAAGCCCAATACCCTGCCTTTTCCCCTGTGGTGGAGTAATATAGCACGGCATTAAGGAAACGCTGCAAGCCACCAATCAAAGCGGTGTGGTGAGCACACTTGCCGTCCTTTGGTAAAGATGATGGATACTCCCCTTAAACAATGCTGGCAGAGGGAGCAATTAAACATTTCAATAATTTAGCAGGCAAGGTGAGCGAAATGGCGAGTACGCGTACGCCAGACTTGATGGGGAGGGACTGTGAAGAGCAAGAGGGCTGTTAAAAAGAGTTACTGACAAAGAAGTGAAAGCGTGAATTTATGTATCAACAGCTAGACAAGAACAACTGATTTAAAATTAGTTGCAGTAAGTCATCCTCAAGGGCTCAGGTAAATAATAATAAGGATAAATAAAACACATTAATACATGTATTGTATATTAATTTTCATTAATATACGTTAATAGACTTATACATAATATACACTACAGTACACTACACATTAAATGGATCAAAATTGACATTAAAAGCATTTAATTCTATTTAAATATTTAAAGTATTTACTTTAAATGTTACTGAAAAAAAATTGTTTCCACAAACAACACAACTGTTTTCAACATTGATAATAATAATGTTTCTTGAGCAGAAAATCAGCATATTTTTAGCTAAACATGTATTCAAGTTGGGCGACTCACTAAAACCAGCATCTTTGTAGCTATTTCGGGGGGGTCGCATGGATGACGTCTGCCAAATCAAGCCCCCCCAAATCCCCCACCTTTTGCTCCTGTCTTGCATTTGCTTTGTTGTCAGTTGCTTAATCCCCTAAAACCACAGTTTAGCGCCTACTTCTTCATCCCCTCCTCAGCCCTGGCCTTAATGTCCTCGTCCGCTCCATTAAACGGCAGAGAAAGGGCCCAGATTAGACAGATAAAGAAAGTGTGAGCTCTGTTTGGATAACACCCTCCCTGCCAAGGCCTCGCAAAACAGGATTACAATTGGCGTGTGTGAGGAAGTGAGAGAGAACTGGCCAGCCAGGGTACAGCCGCGTGAGATGGGCATGAGTGAAACGGCGTGACGATACATCATATGGGTGGACCATGTACAGTAAACGCATTGGTCATAACAGGCATTGGGCCTGTACCATGATGGTAGTTGAACAAACTCAGGGTTACAGGATTAGTTTCGAGCTGACAAAACCAAACCAATCCAACCAGGCTTTGTTGGTACCATGATTCTGATTATCAACTTCCTCTGTCAACTCAGGCTTTGATCCTGAGTTTAGGAGTGACATCAGTAGCAAACAGCCAATCACATGCTGAGAAAGAGTGAAACTGCAAATCATTTCTCGTGAGAGAAGCAGCACAATCCACTTATTAAATAAAAAGTATTAAATATTAAGAATAAAAACAAATTTGCACAGCAAGACGAAAATAGCTGTCTATGAAAGAGGACGTCTAAAAGAAAAACTCACTATTGTATATCAGAGCAAGTAAAAGTTTTGAAGTTAGTTTATACAGTTGATAAAGCTAAACAACTATGTACATGTGAGTTTAAAAGTTAAATGCTCTCAATACCTTTATCTATTGATTCTAAAGCATATTTATATTACCTTTATATATTTATTCATTTAAACTCTGTGGTTGGTTAAGTTTATAATAATTACCGGTAAAGACAGATGATTTTGTCTTTAGTAACCCTTAATTTGGAGTAGAAACAGGTGGAACGACATTATCGCATCAGACATGTCACTTTGCTCACAGCTGATTGGCCCAAGTTCGGTTTGCAACCTCTTACCTGGAACATATCCTGCCTTGGACCACGTTAGCCGCGGAGCTCAAGTTACTATGGCGATAAAAAATGCTAAAAGTCAAACCACTTTCATGGTGCCTAAAACCCAGGTTGGCACAAACTAAACTGAAATATATTTTGGCTAGCCACCAAAACCGGTTGCAGGTGTGATATAGGCCCCAGGTGTGAATAGAAATGGTTTTCCGAAAGCTGATGTTTCTCTTGGTGAGAAAAAACACTCGATTCAGATATGTAACTTCTAAGGACCTGAATGTTATCGCTTGAGCTCAATTAAGAGCATATTGTTGCAGATTGTTGGCAAGACTAATTAGCAAGACCAATTAGCATTTATATAGCACCCTACTTGTGTTCATCTTGGTGCACTTGGTAAACTTTTCATAGTCTTTCAGTGAAGATATCAAACAAGCAGTGGCCAAACAAAAGCTGGCTTATTGGCAAGTTTAATGCAAACACAAACGAATATGGTAAATGGGATCATGTTTAAAAAAAAAAAAAGATTGGCCAAAACTTAGTGCTAATTGTTAGAATAAATGAGGAGAACATTCGTATTTGGTCTATAGTGTGTTTGGAGTCTTGCTTGAGATCAGCATTCAGTGAACTCAACACGGAGGGCAAGCATTCCAGAGCTGCGGAGGAACCGGCACCAAGTAGAAACACTAAAAGAAAATGGCTCCTTAATAAGGTAAGCCAATTAAGAAGCTGAAAGAGAAAGTAATGTGACGTGAATGGGTAATGCCTCAAATTTGGGCCTTACACAGGCAGTGGGGGAGAAGGTATAAAGGTCTTGTGCTGAATGCGATGAATAAAAAGTACACAAGAAGGGGGACAAAGTACTTGACAGTGCAGAGAGTTTTTAAGAACCACAGACAACTGCGCTGTTTCACTTAAAAGATGCAAGTATTGTTGTGAAAAAGAAATCTGGTTCACAATAGCAAAACAATATTCTGAATTTTTAAAGAGAAGCCAATTTTAGGCACTGTTTTAAGACCCACAGACCCAATACTGAACAAGACTACTCTGACACAAACAGAGAAAAAAAGAGAGAGAAAGACTATGGTAAGCATTACTACAACAATTGGTCTTCCTCAAGCCCCTTTTCACACAGAGTGTTGATCCCAGAAAACTGCAAGAGTGCCTTCTGTGTAAACGCAAACACGTCTTGAGATTTATCCCAGGATGGGGATCTAGTAACATTGCTGGGATCAGTCCCGGAAGGTGCCCTGTGTGAACAAAAGGCAGGACCAATGCCGTAAGGGGTGTGAAGCTTAGGCCCTGTTTACTCGAGAACGCTCACGGGTGAAAACGTAAAAATATTTTATCGGATGTGCCTTTCGTTTACACGGCGGTGTCGTTTTTGAGGCTTAAAAACGCAAAAAATTTAAACCACCCTCCAGAGTGGAAATCTTAAAAACGCTCCACCGCCGCGTTCCCGTGTAAACGGTAAAAACGCAAAAGTCTGCTTGACAGTGTGAAGGTTGTACGCAGGCGCGTGGACTTGGTGTTGTCGTAGTATGCACTCCTAGCCGCCTGGAGTGCATACTACATTGAATATCACACACTTTTGTGTCACCATTTGCACGCGGATTTCCCACACAAAACGCTCGTCTAAACGCAGAATAAAAAGTGATAACGAAACGCCAGTTTTGCGTTTTCTCTTCAGAATCGTTTCCGTGTAAACATAGCCTTAGATTGTTCGACGACTCTGAGGCCCCGTCCACACTACTGCATTTTCGTTTAAAAACGGATACCTTTTGCTACGTTTGCACCTCCCGTCCAGACTAAAAAGGAAAAAACGAAGACCTAAAACGGAGAAGTTTGGAAACGCTGCAGCTCCGTTTTGCGTTTTGAATCTCCGGAGGGCGTTTTAGTGTAGACGGGACAAAACGGAGGAGTCGCAGAGGCTCACGCTCAGCTCTATGATTGGGTGTCGCCAGTCATGACGTGTCCTTCCCTGATTCGTCAGCCACTGTTTACACCGGCACTCGCATGCGCAGTGTTGGTGAACGGTCCATTTTTAAACGAAAACGCAGTAGTGTGGACGGGGCCTGAGTAAAAGAGGCTTTAGGGTTAGGGGTTTAAAGATACATTTAAAAATCAACCATCAATCAGCTTTGTTTTGAGGCAAAAATTAAAATAAGCAAAAATAAATGAATTAAACCTCATATATCATGTACTAATTATAAAATAAGTAAATAAATAATTAATTTACTATAAATGAATAAATTATGGAAAAAAGCAAGCTCTAATTGACATAGTAAAAGATAGAAAAAAAAACTAACAAAAAAGCTAAAGAGGCAGTGTCAGGCAATGGGATATAGGGGAAGAATAGAATGGAATAGAAGCAGAGGCAGGACTGTCACGCTTTGTTTTTCTGCCTGTTGCTTCTGAATGACAGTAATTAGTAGGCTGGGTGGGGGGAACATAGGGTGGAGAGGGACTCCAGCCTCCCACCAGGAGACAGAAGGGAGAGGGGATGTGGGACAGAAGAATAGATGTTCTGAGAGCAACAGAAAAATAAGGGCAAGGGTCATTCCTAAGAAACAGAAGAGTGACAAAAAAAAAAAATTCAGGCACGATGGCAGGGGTGTGGGGTATGGGGGGGGGGGGGGGTGCAGAACGAGGGAAATAGAGAGAAAAAAGGGGAGATGAGGACACTGTTTGCAAACAGCAATTGTTTAATTAACAACAATGGACTAAATATGAAACTTTTTTCTAAGTAAAACAGTAACCTGCACATTCGGATGCTTCAATTAAAGTGTGTAGTTTTAGTTCAATTCAGCATATTTTTTTATCTAATATGCAAGAACAAAAAGGTTGATGACACAAACCCAAAACAAGAGCAAATTATTTGCAAGCCAATTTGCAAGCCATTATTTGAAAACACTAAGTGAAAAGCAGAAGGTTAATGTGTCAGCAACACTGAGCTACACGTACAGATCTACAGTAACTTTCTGAATGTCAGGGTTGCGACGGAAGGGTGTTAAAAACACCCTCGCTCTCACAGCCTCTCAACTTCCACTGCCAGAAGACAATGACCAGACACACGCTGCATGGTGATGATGGGTGCTACAGGTGTGTGTCTGTGAAAGTCTGTTATCAGGATCATACGAGGAGATACGAGTACATACAGTCACCTACATACACACTTATCACTTTTGCCACTCTTTTTAAATATGTATGAATGTCATTGCATTAGTTTTATACAGAATATCAATTATTAAGAAATAATTCACAAGCACAAAGTCAAACATTTAAAAAACATTCCATCGAAATGTTTGGCAATACTTTTTTAAAAATGTTTTTGTAAGAAAACTCTTTTTCTCATCAAGGCTACATTTATGTATGTTTTCCATTTAAATATATTTTAAAATGTAATGTATTCCTGTGATGGCAGAGCTGTATTTTCAGCAGTCATAATATATAGTGTCACATGACCCTTTAGAAATCATTTGAATATGCTAATTTCTTGTTTCAGATATTGTTTTTTTAAAAATAAATAAAACTGAAATATTTATTTTTCAGTCATGCTGCTTTGTGTTTTTGTGGAGACCGTAATAAATGTCAAATTTATTTGAAAAATAAATATTTTGTAACGACATCTATACAATCACTTTTGGTGAGTGTAATGCATCCTTGCAGAATGAAATTAACTTCCGTCCAAAAATATTTTTACGACAGTGTACACTGTTCAAAACGAAGAGAAAAGGTATTGTTTCTGGATCATATTCATAGTAAAAGTGATGAATGTATGTGGTTACAATGCTGAGAATTGACTTTATACATGCGCAAAAAAAATTGTACACCAGTTGAGGCTATAAATAAAAGGCCCAGAGAGGTGAATTAGTCCCGAGAAAACACCTGGCAAATTTTGGTTGCCAATTCATTTCCATTTTGATTGACATTTTCTAGTGCGGTGACATTCAATTTTAACTGTGCCCAAATACTTTTTGGAGCAATTGTTGTGTGTTGACAAGAGATTAAAATTTTCAAGAATCTACACATCTGCAAGTTTGTTCGTGCTGCTGTGCGCTCTCAGCTTAGTTGGCTACACACATTTTACAGTATTTCACTCCATGGCGAAACTTCATAGATTATTTGGTAGATTACAAAACAATAATGAAAATGATAAAAAAAGGAAGGGTTAAGACAGGGAAGAAACTCACCTGCTGCAGGTCTGCCAATGAGTAGAGGTGCACATGCTGTAACAGGTATTCTCTTGGAAAGATCCTTCAAAAAAAAAAAAAAAAAAAAACATGAAATAGCATAAAAACCATATAAATATTACCTCAAGTCATAACTGAGCCTGATCATAGCTGTAGAAAAATAACTGCAATAGTAATTCAGTAATTCAGTTCAGTTCAATAATACTTTAATAATCCCCAAGGGGAAATTCTTTGTCACAATTGCCCACATATATAATAAACAACAATAAATAATTATAAAAACATTTCCGTTATATGGATATGTTATAATAAACATATTCATTAAATCTAATGTTCCAATGAACAATGAAATAAATAACAATGAGAATATTACACATTAATTTAAAACAGATCATATTTGTTGCACAGCAACCAAAATATTAACAATTTAAAAAAAAATAGCTAATAGCTATTATAGCTACCACACATATACAGTACATACAAATCTATTTCAGGGGGGATCGCTAGTTTCCCGCCTTTCCGCCTCAGTATCCATGACAACATGGGTCCAAATTGCTTGGAAATAGGGGTTAATTCAATTGAATTAGAAAAAGGCTGTAAAATAGGCATTTAAAAGCACTATCCCTTATTATGGGTGAAGTGGGGCGGCTCAGTCTCTCTCTCTCCATCTGGCTGGCTATTATGGCCCTCTTCACCTCTCTCCTCCCATGAGCCAACACTCGCTCTTTTCCTCTCTCATTCACCCACGCCTGCTCACATTACAAACTCAAGGGCCCACAGAATTATCCAGAAAAGAGGGGAAGGGAAAAGCAACAGGCACACTGTGAGGTGGAGAGAAAAAAAAAAAAAAAAAGATGTGCGGTTGCAAGAAGGAAATGAAACGAAAAACTGTTATTTATCCCATCTTTTACTAACTAGTCAGTCAATAACATCCACTGACAACTGACCCAGCAGAACAGGCGATTCAGTCTAATGAAATGTTAACGTTCCTCATTGGAGATGCATAAAACAATTCATTCAGACGCAAAGCAATTGGTGTAGCCACACTATAGCGGGCTGTTGCTGTCTTTTTTTTTTTACCACAAAAGGCTGGAAAATTGGATCTATTAGGTACTTTGGCACTGGAAACCAGTGCATCTTTACTCCTGGCCACTAATAGTTCTTCCACTCCGCTTCCTCAGTGGCTTGGTTCCGTCATTAGCAGCCCGTCAGGCAGATGTTGGGAATTAGAGGCAGCCTTGCAGACCACAAACACAGCTAGAGACAGGAGAGAGGGAATTTATGGCATTAAGGCATGGGAGGAAAGCATGCTGGGTAGTTTTGAGCTATAACGGGGCATTTATGAGTGAATTTAGCCATTATATTATGTAGAGTCGCACAGGATCTAAAAACAGGCCTATGTTGCACAGATGCACGTGTGTTTTGAGATTCGCTGGACATCTCAGTCTTCAGCTTTAGGGATTGTGGTGAACCTCCATTTGTTTCATTCGCAGCCATAATCTCATTGCTGGCTGAAGAGAAGCATGGCGGTTCTCCAGACAGCCCTATTCACAGCTCATCCCTCAGACCTCATTAGGCCAAGCAATCATTACAGCACTAATCTTAGTCTAAACTGAGGCGTGCAGGCAGGGGGTGGAATGTTTACTAAGATGAGGATGAAATCTCTTTTCAATTGTTTATGGAAGGCTCAAGGGTCAACAGACAAGAGTTGCAGCAGGTGTCATTAGTACAAATAGAGCTGATGACAGCAGCTTTGTTTTGAGTTTGATGTATGACACGTCAAAAACGATACTTTATCAAGAGTTGTGAATGCGTTGTAAGAAATAGATGCATTAAAACTTTAAAGAGAAAGAGTTTAATTGTGCGGTCTTTTTGGACATGTTGTACTGTTCTCAGAGAATTTGTAAATGTTCTTTAAACTCGATAATGAAAAAGAATGATGCACGATGAAAATTAAAAAAAACTAGCTGGCCTCCGTTAGACACAGTGTAGTTTGACTGTTCAACAAATTACATTAAGTCTTTTTTTAGTAAATTAAAATTATGCAAACCCAGCAAGCACCAGTTCAGTCTAACTGATTCCAACACAAATGACTCTTAAAATCAAATCAAATAGAGCATGTTTGACTCCCAAACAAATGGCTCTTATAAACCATTTCGTTTTAGTGAATTAAAAACAAAGTGAAAAATGCACGAGTTGTTTTTTTAGTGAATTAACACATACGGCGGAATGGCTCTAAAAGACTTTTCTTTAAATGTAATTATTATCCAAATGATCTCATAATTTTGCAATGGAATTTATGTTTTACTAAAAAAGTCATAATGGGATCATTGAAGTGGAATCGACAAGAAGAATCCTAAAGCAGAATTTGTATATTTTGATGATAAACATTTTTCCACTGAAGTGTTTACAGAATCACCCTTGACAGATTTGCGGCCTTAGAGAGGTACGAACGCCCAATAAAGGGTCTGGAAACCACAGAGCTCAAAGCTTTACATAGCCACAAATCTGTGCAACAAGTGAGGTATTACTGAACAACTTAGGAAGGCTGACAAAGAAAAGATATTGCATTGACAAGATTCCATGTTCTAATGCGCTATCTTCTGTACGACAAGATGAAATCCTAACTTAATCCCTACGGATGTGTTACACTGATTCGCCTGCCTTTGTCAAGCTTGTTCAAGTCAGGACAGTGTGTGAAAAGAGACCTGCGTCTCTCAGGGTGCTCATTTTACCTCCGGTCATGGTGACAGTCTATTTTCTGCTTTCTATATCCTCCAGCATAAATTCATCTCTGCTCATGGCAGGGTTTCATGTTTGAATCTTCATGTCTGAATCATTTCTTAGGGCAAAACCATTCAAGTGTTTGCAGTGCTGGTAACCAGACGATATGACTTGTCAAACAAAAGACAACCAAATCAAGCCACCGGATTTAGAGGGTGGCAAGCATATTATAAGCAAGAGGCTATATGTCGATTTTGCTGTTTTCCTTCAAAATGTCTATGTATAGATATGGATAGATATATATTGGCAGAGGAACAGTGATTATGTGGATATGAAGCAACCTGTGATTGGTCAAAAAAAGTAGATGAAGAAGAAAAGTCAGCATGCACCATACTTCAGTAAAGAGGCGTCTTGTAGTTGTTATTTAGAGAATTGTGCTAATATTACTACCAAGTGGAAAGACAGCATTCCATGAAATAAAATGATAAAAGTTCGAAACAACATAAGGAACTTCCATGTTTCAAGTTAAGAATTGTAGTTCTTTAATGGTTCCATTAATTGTTTTAGAACTTTTGAGCAAGAAATGTTAAAGGGGTCATGAACTGGCTTTTTAAATTTCATTATATTGTTGTCTGAGGTCAACTTATGATGTTCGCTTGGTTTTTGTACCCAAGTTTTGATCCTATCTCAAAAAATCCTCGGTTTTTATGGGCGTCTTGCACTGAAAACTTGGAAGTAAACACCCACTGCTGTGAGTGGATAACAGTTTTGCATATTATAATGAGTTTCAACTCACCCGTCGATGCACTTGGGTTCAATTTTTTGAAAACGTCCAATGATCTAAAATGGCAACCGGAATGATTCGCTCATGAATGGTCGAACCAGATTCCGTGTGTTGCACCATTCCTGTCAGCACCGTTCGTTAATCTTAATCGGTCTGCAAATCCAGTCGTTTACAAAACAATCCTCAGTGAAATTAAGCGAACAGACGGTTTAAACCCTCATCAGTTGGAACGTCATGATAAATAAAGTTTATCCATGCATTCCAATTGGAATCCAGAGGAAGCTTATTCAGCGACTGTCTTCTTCCACAACCAGGCACTGCATAATATTTTGTATTGCTCAGTTGCTGGATCCGGTTTGTCATCACGAGGTAGGCCTATGTTGTTTAGCTATGCGTGTAATGTGCGAATCGGTGGGCGGGGCTAAACCGGCCGTGTTGAAGTAGGCGTTGATCTTGTTCTGCGGGGGTGGTGTTTTATCCTCTTTGACGTCATAGTTTCCCACTTTGAAAAACGAGTCGTTTGCTGAGGCTGGTGTCAATAAAAGCTTCTATTGGACTAACAAGGACGTCTTCAGCTCTGAAACTTACAGGATATTCTTATAATAAGCTGACCTCTTAGATGTCAAAAGCTCAAGGAAAATTTGATTTCTCAGTTCATCGCACCTTTAAGAAAAATGAAATATGACTAATGAAAAATGATGAGAATTTTTATAATATATCATTTTTTAAAGGTGGCATAAATGCAATTCATTAATTTGCCTTGTAGAAGACATTAGACAACAGCGGCAAACAAAACGCACTACACTGCCGTTCAAAAGTTTATATTTTTACATGCTGTTCTTTTGAACTTTCGGTTCAAAGAATCCTGAAAAATAATGAATCACAGTTTCCTCTAATATTAAGCATCACACCTGTTTTCAACGTTTTGTATGTTTCACACTGTGGATCCAGTAACAGTGCCCCTGAATAGTAGAGCAAATCAAAACTGGTTCTTATTCCCAAGCCAAGACACGAGGGAGAACTATTGAAAGGTAAAGACTAAGGTAGTAAGCGTGTATGTGGATGTCCTGCAGTTCAATGAGGTGCATTAGGTGTGGACAGTGACAGCTCTCCCCCTTCTCTCAATGGCTTAGTGTAAACACTTGTGGGCCTCTTCACAACCGCTGATGAGCGTCTGGCCTGGGCGATGAATGGCTAAGGTAATATTTTAGTGCCACCGCCCTCATCAATCCTACACTGTTTGGAAAAGCGAAGCATTAGTCTGATGTCTGCTAATAGCCTGGCCATAAACACTAGCCCTCTAGCGCTGCCTCCTGCTGGGGTCACCACCGCTACACCCCGTAAACACAGCGGCCAGATAAAGTCACCGCTCGGTAGGCAGCTGGGACCGCTCCAAGAAGATGAACCTCGCAGAGAATATTCAGTTCAAGCTGAGGTTCCCTTTTGCAAGAGCCCTCACTTCTGCACTTCAAACGGCCATCCTGTTTCTACGTCACCATGGAGTTCAAAGGAACGAATACATAGGAAAGGGTACTGGCCCATTCAATAATTCAGTGATTCAAAACAACAAACAGTGTTCTGAACATGTAGCTAAGAGTGCATTAGCAACAGCATTAAGTCAATACTTGATTTCAATAGGGAAAAGAATGAATAAGATGGAAATTAGTTTACCACAAAAGCAGTGTCTGTCTGAGGATATGTTTCATGGTCAATAGAAGAAATAAACTGCAGGTTACTCTTAAAGGGATAGTCACACAAAAATAAAGCTTTGGTGATCATTTGCACACTGTGATGTTATAAAGTTCCTTTGACTATCTTCTGTGGAACGCAAAAGATGATATTTTGAAGAATGTCTCAGCGTTTCATGCATAATATTTAATAATAAAAATTATGGTGCAGGCTTAGAAGAACCACACTAAAGTAAATGATCGCAAAAATGTACAGTAGATTTTTGGGTGAAATATCTAAACTCTTAATCTAACCACTTAACCTTAATTTCAGTAAACAGTTATCTTTATCTGATGATTGATTGTTAGTATAAAAGGAGCTGAGCCATTTGTTGGGGAAACTCTGGTGGTAGCTTTCCATTGTGTGATATTTCATCACAGAGCTGTACATGCTTTCGTCTCCAATGGTGTGAATGTTTAAGGCCTTTTAGCGCAATCTCATGGTCTCCACATTGACCCTGGTTAGAGCACAAAGCATTCATCATATAGACAAGCCTTTTAGTGCTGAAACTTTTGCATAAACACAGCTCCTTCACATTCCTGCTGAACATGGACCTTAGAAATCCACAAAGGAAACTGCTTATTCCCAAAAACCCAAATGCATTCCTTGAAATAGCATTACAAATTCATACTTTGTCAGTGCTACACGCTAAATACACGTCTATACGATTAATCTCTTCTCTTTGTACACATTTGCAGGCTAACAAACCAGATGCTATACCAGCGGCAGTCAACCACTATTTTATGTGCCTTGAAGACTCTACAAATATTTATCACAGTAATGTAGCCTAAATCAAATGATTCATGAAGATGCTATCATGAAAAAAGTAGCTATTACAAGTAGGTGTTTATTATTCAGGATAATGTCCTGTTGGAAACAAAATACATTCTTCCACAATATATATTTACTTTTAGTCCTATCTTACAAATCTGGAAACAGAGAGGAAAAGCTCAGTGTGTATCCCTGCTAGGCTAAATCAAACAATGTTATCAGAATCACAGGACAACTACAACCAGGGAATATTTATACACTCATGTACTGATATCAATGAAGTATTTATGAACTTAATCTTATCTTACTGACTTTATATGTCCACCAACTGTTTTGATGTCACTAACAACAATATAATCTATTGTGTTGGTTCTTAACAAGAAAAAAACACCATATAGGCATAGATGAAACAACCGATCACTTCTACAGTCTCCAAATTGTGAGTTTTACGCTTGCTCCAAGGTTATGTGTTTTATCTATAATTAGCCTTTGCATATTTTATTTCATTTGCATATGATTTGAGTTATTGCAACACCTTTTCAATAGGTGAGAACCCATTTGAGGTCAGTGTCACAGGAGCATAAACATTCATAGATCACTGAACCTGTCATTTTTTAAGCAGAAGTTGTGCCATTAAACTCTCACCTTGACACTTTCCCAGATGACCAACAGGAAAACATTTATTTAAAAACTGAAGCAAATTACGGTTTGATTAAAGGAAACTAAGAAACGCAACTACAGTTGTGGTCAACCGATCTCAACAAGGCCAAACAAAAAATAAAATAAACAAGCTTATTATAAATTTTAGGAAGTTTATTTATACAGCAAATTTCATACACAGTAGTAATTCAAAGTGCTTTACAATTTTTTGAATTAAAAATATCATAAGAATTAAAAACTTAAGAAATAAGCTAAATTTATTAAAAACAAAATAAAAGTTTACTTAAAAAAGTTTTTAAAATAAATATGTAATATTTATAATGCATTTAATTTCAGCAAATTTTAGCACATGACTTATTGAATTGTGTGATATCAATAGTCACATTGGCAACTGAAACATCCTAGTTGTTTGATCACTATATAGACCATTTCACAAGATGTAAACAACACTGGTCCAGAAGCACTTCCTGTTTCAGTTTGTAACGGTTTTCTTTATTTCACATGTAAAGAAAACATCTTAAAGATGTTTGTTTAACTTTTTGATTCAGTTTTAAATGTTCTGTTGGTTGTATTTTATCCCAGCTTTTTTGTAGTGTTAAAAAACTGAAACAGGAAGTGCTTCTGGACCAGTGTTGTTTACATCTTTTGAAATGGTCTATCCACAAGTTTCCGAGGGGCGCTCCTGTAAAAAATAAAGTGGGTGAAACTTCCGGTGAGGCGGCGGAAGTAGCATTCCAATGGTATTTTGTGTGTTAGTTAGCGAAGAGGCTAGCTGTTTTTCGGAGAATTATTTTACTATTTAAAGACGCAAATCTTTATGAGAGATGGTGTTACGGAGTTCATGGACAACATGTGCTGTTCGCGGTTGTATGTATAACCGGACTAAACTAGTTCAGTGGCTTAAACGTGATTGTTTTGAACATAAGCTGAAAACGAAATCAGAGTGTTCCTGCCAACGACTGTAGTTTCCATCACCTCCCAAAAGACGACGAATCTTCCTGTGTACATTTGTTTAAATTCTTATTATTCTATAAACTTTTATCAGCATGTGTTTGGCTGTTCGCTACTGACGTTGCACCTAAACTCAGGATCAAAGCCTGTGTTGACAGAATACCAAATGTGCCAGTTAATGTATTCAAGCAGCACATTCATTTATAATTTTGAATAAACTCCAAAGCACAATGACTAAGTGTGTATTTTTTATTTTAATTGTTTGTCAGCTCACACAACTGTCTGTCACCATGCCTTGATGAGTATTGATTATTAATAATGTTATTATAATACTCCCAATCAACTACTGCGGAGGGTAAAGGTACTGTTATTTCACCTTTTTTAATTTCGTTGAGGTTGTGTTCCCACATCGTTAGCTAGTTTGGATCGCTATAACTTGAATGACTGTCAACTGTTGAATGAACGAGTGTCAAGCATGTCAAATCGTGCTTTGTTTACTTCCAACCGGAAGTCGCGCCCACTTTTGACGCAAGGCCTCATGGGGCGTAGGAAACTTGTGGATACGCTCTTAAAAATAAAGATTTATTGACATTGATGGTTCCATAAACAACCTTTAACATAACATTGCACAAAAGGTTCTTTAGAATGGAAAAGATTATTTGATTCTCAAAATGTTCTTCACACTTAGAAAATCTGCTTTACTGTTCACTGAAAGGTTCTTTGGGGAACCAAAAATTGCTTTATATCATCGCTACATAAACCCCCTTTTGTGTAGTAATTGCCATTTTCAATAATCTGCTGTTTATTAACAAAAGAAGGTCCATGACACATGTGCCTTTTTAAAAATCTACCATTTTGTCATTTTTAATCTGTTTTACTCTAACTTTCCCTATCTTTCCTCTTGCTGCTATCTGGCATAGCTCACCTGCGGCGGAGGTCTTCTGCCACTGTGGCCCGGCAGCTGAAGAGGTAGGCCCTGAGAGACTGGAGCTGCTGTCTCAGTTTGAGAATGGCCGCCAGCGCCTCGCAATGCTCATACAGACACGGGTTCAACTGCTGGACGTCTAACAATGGCTCCTCATAAACAAACTCCAGAAACTCCTTCGCTTGTTTCGAGACCTGAACCACAATGTTAACAATGTTGTTACTTGTAATCCCTTTTAGCTTTTGTTAGATGTCTTGAGTCTTGAGCTGATTTCTAAACTCAAATGCACCAAGAAAACAAATAGAATTATTAACGATATCAAAGGGTTAGTTCACCCAAAAACAGGAATTATGTCATTAATGACTCACTCTAATGTCGTTCCAAGCCCGTAAGACCTCCGCTCATCTTCAGAACAGTCTGAGATATTTTAGATTTAGTCTGTGAGTTTTCTGTCCCTCCATTGAAAATGTATGTACGGTATATACTGTCCTTATCCAGAAAGGCATCATCAAAGTAGTCCATGTGACACCAGTGGGTTAGTTCGAATATTTTAAAGCATCGAAAATACATTTTGGTACAAAAATAACAAAAACTACAACTTCATTCAGCATTGTACTGTCTTTCGGTTCTGCTGTTGATGTGTTATCAGCAGTGTTGTGTGTAACGCATTACAAGTAAAATAACTACTGCTATATTTGCTTCTTATTCATTAAATTCAGGAAATTGGTTGATAAAAAATGGATTCAAATTAAGATACAATTTATACAAAACGAAATTCACTTTAAAGAAAAGTGCTCATCTAACGGTTCGGTTGCGAGTTTGCACCAGGTTTGCACCGAGGGCTCAGCCCACTGCTCACCCCTCCCTTTCGAAGAAGCTACAGTGGCTAAAACAGGAAAAACATCTCGTCGGCTGAGACAGCAGATAATAGCCATAGTAAGCCAAGAGTGTGTGGCACTGTCACTGTTTCTGTGACACAGTCCATTATAAACCACATCATGGATAAAGTTTACAAAGCCATAGTCAGGTGAGGATCAAGGATTTTAATATATAATTTAATATAATAATAATAGTAATCAGCTGATTGTCTCACAAACGTAACCAGCAGCACAATTCTCCCCATGTAGCAAACCCATAATACAGCGAGGGAGAAGAACCACATGAAACTATGCAGCTATATATTTTTTCAACAGGGTAGTAAAAGTTTAGCTGGCTAATTTGAGCTGTTACTGTGGACAGTACTGAACTGGTTAAAGCATAGCCTTGTTTATACTTGACGCGTCCACATGAGTCCAAAGGTGCGCACAGCAAAGATTACATGATTGTAACAGCGCGCGCACTTTTGCATCCCATAGACACCATTTACTACACACAATAGGCTTTTTCTCTGATTTTGAAAACTCTTCGCGATCGACTTAAGCTAAAAGTGATTACAAGTACACAACTTTTTAAAAGTAACTTACCCAACACTGGTTATCAGTGCGCCAGAGCTTCGTTTACAGTCTGAGGAGACGCATGCTGTAAAGAAAACAATCTTCGCAAACATGTCTAACTTGCATTTTTTTGCCCAGCCATATTTATCTGAACCAGAACACACGGACGCACTGGCACCAGATACACGTCAGCAGCATCTTGCGTCAACAGCGTCACTGAACGCGGTTTGACAACAGAACCGGAAGAGAATACAATGCTGAAAAAAGTCGTAGATCCAATGCTTCAAAAAATTCTAACTAACCCACTGATGTCACATGGACTACTTTGATGATGTCTTTATTTCTTTTCTGGACAAGGACAGTACAGTGTATACAATTTCAATGGAGGAAAAACTCAGACTGAATCTGAAATATCTTAAACGGTGTTCTGAAGATAAACGGAGGTCTTACAGGCTTGGAACGACATGAGGGTGAGTCATTAATGACATAATTTTCATTTCTGGGTGAACCAACCCTTTAAAGATATGGATTGGGTAAATAGGTATGTACACATACCTTGTGTTTATTAGTGTCCCAATTGTGCAGTAGACGAGCAGGTATGAGGAAGAGGTTGTCCTGGTGGCAACTTGGGCAGTAGTACCAGCCACTGTAAGAGCAAACTTTAGCTTTGCCCCGTGACAGACCCACTGGCCTCTGACACCCTGAATGGAAAAACAAAGCAACAATAAAAAGGAGGAACTTCAAACAACACACAAATCAAACCTGGGACAGGAGATATCAAGTCTGGGTTAATGACAATGTTAATGACTACCTAATCTACTGATGAGGGCACGACCCTGTTAAAATCTGACAATCATTAGTGGAAGGTGATCAATCTGTTTGGGTAATGTGCTGCTGATATGTCAAGGTTTACGACACAACCCTGGTTAAACAAAGATAATCCAGAAATGTAAAGTCACTGATTAAAAACCAAAACTAAAAATGTGTTTTTACCTGTCCAGACACAACAGAAAGAATCCAAATGCTTCTTAGTTGTGAACAGGCACAAATACTGAGCACATTTAATGTGAGATATCACCAGAAAGTACTTTGCTTTGTCTTTTAAAAGTTTGTTCAAGTTGTCTTCAAACAGTCAGGCGGCACTCTACCAAAGGGCTTATCCCGAAGGAACCAAAACAGGTGATTGTGAACACGGCAGGTGTCCCTTATCCTAGCCATCTTGGAGAATCAGAGCCGGGACAGCGTGGACGTTCAAAGAATAAAAAAAGAGAATGAAAGGAACAGGCACAGGCGGATATGGACATTTACAATCTTTTCAGCGGAGCGTAACGCCAGCTATTCACTTCATAGGGAGAAGAAATGTGGACAAGATGGGAGGTAGGATAGAAGGACAAAAACAAGTCAGAAAACACAGTCTCTAAAAGAGGGAGACAGAATGTTATCGCCGCAAATATCTGTGGAGGGAGACACTGATTACGGTGTTTACAGGCAATGCTGTAGGTCTATTTTGGAAGCATTGTTAGCCGGCTGAAAAGGGCCAAGCCGAAAACAGTGATGAAGTACGTGAATCTCTGACTGTACGCAGAATTACATCATTACCACCAGATTCAAAAGAGTCAGTTCACTCATAAATGGCCATTCTGTTATCATTTACTCAGCCTCATGTCATTCCAGACCTGTAATAGGTCATTTCCTAGGTGGAGCTCAAAAGATGATGTTTAGCAGAATGCTCAAACAGTTATTTCCTTAAAAATAACAGTGAATGGGTGCACACATGCTGTCGAGCTTCAAAACCACAAAGTAACTCATATAAGAGTGAACATTAACAAGTGGAGTGAACATTAACAAGTAACTTTAGTTATTTTGTGGTTTTGTGGAACAGTAATATGTATACCACCATATAAATAATATGATGAAGACATTAACATTCCACATGGCACTTAAACATTGTTGGACTGCACTAAGAAACATTAAAGAGAATGGTGTTAGCCGTTTTTGATGCATAACAATAATAATAAAAAAAAAAACAAGACTGGCCAAAAATTATTCTGTGACTCTTGACTTGCACAATACGGAGCCAAAAAATACAGCCGTATTGGACCAAGAAAAGAAAATTTGCTCTATTCCATTTCCAAACCCATACGTAATGGGTTGTTCTAGCTGAGGTCAGGCGCTAGCATCATGCGCTGCACTGTGCTGCCAATGTAAACTTGAGGTTTTTAGGGGCAGGGACCCCAGACTATAAAAAGTCAGAGATGGTGTCCCCCATGCCACAGCTGATGGGCACCTGATATTTGGGCTGAACCACAGACCAAGCAGCAGGGTGTCGTGTGTCAGAGCTGCCTTGTAATCAGCATACATGCAGAGAGTGAACCCACAAATACCACCCTTTTCCAAAAATAGCACATCGTTATACAGCGCTCATGCTATGGAGACTGTTATTAAGTGAAAGCTAGTTGAGGCTGGGCTTTAAAGCAAAAGGAAAACAAAAATTGTGCAAAAATTAAAGGAGAAGCAGTGACTCAAAATTTGTCGACAATGTTTCTGTCCATTAAACCGGCTTCCAAATCATAGCATGTCTAACCTCATGGAAGAAAGAAGCTAACAGCTCACGTCACATGCTGTGGAATAATAAAAAAAAGAGCATATATGGATAATGTGTGAATTCAAGCTAGTATTCAACCTATAGTCTTCATCTTCACACAATCCATAAAACATAACTGAATATAAAAACTAAATAAACCGTGCATCAGCCAATTGTAGTCTGACTGTAGAGTATACTGTATATGCTGGTCAAAGCAAAGCTACAATAGATCTGTTAGCCGGACTTATGCAAATATTACTTTGATTAAGTCCAAAGTATAAATCGGTTTTAAGTGTATGCTAGGGTATGCATAAAGTGTGCATGACATTCATTTTATCATGACAATATTGTAACTTTATGCACGTCAGAAATTTCTGTAACACTCTACAATAAGGTTTCATTAGTTAAAGTAGTTACATGAACTCTAAAGCATTAAATAATCTTATTATTAATTATTGTTAACATTTACTAATATATTATTACAATCAAAAGATGTAATTGTTAACATTACTTAATGCACTGTGAACTAACATGAACAATGAACATTTGTATTTTTATAAACCAACATTAAGAAAGAATAATAAATACTGTAACAAATGTATTGCTTATTGATAGATCATGTTACTAATGTCAACAAATGAGACCTTATTTTAAAGAGTTACCGATTTGGTAACACTTTATTTCGATAGTCCACTTTAGACATTCTACAAACTGTCATTAGAGTATTAGTAGACTGTCTGCTTAATACCTGCTAACACTTTATTTTGTTGGTCCCCCAAAAGACATTTAACTGAGTCAACTTATTCTCCTAACCCGAACCCTAACACATAACCATAACCTACCAGTCTACTGACAGTCTACTATAATATACTAATACTCTAATGAGAGTTAGTTGACATGTGGTTAAAAAGTTACTTATAATTAGTTGAACGTCTAAAGTGACTATCAAAATACAGTGTAACCACTGATTTTTACAACGTACGATCAGCTCACACATGCGCTTTGAGTCCTTGTTCAGTGTACATAGCACAGACACTGACTGAACAAGGACTTTCTACTGCTATCTTTCACGCGCTGAGTCTATTTGTGCGTTTGGCTTTAGTTTACACATACACTAAGTGCTAGCATCCAAACTACAGTTATTTGGGGCTTTACTGTGACATATTAAAAAGTTATTTACAAATTATCACATTAAACATACTAAAACTTAACTTTTATTGCATGGAAACATATAGTGCCAACACAATTCTTAACATATCTAGCTTTCTAGCAAACTGTCTGATCTATTTACACCAAGCCCGTTGGGCTAAACAGATTCTGGACAGTGGCCAGGGAGCATGTAATTTCTGAGAAGGAGTTGGTCCGCTTGGAAACCACAGGCTCTGTGTATTGTGGACATCACTGTCTGTGCCAGTAAAACACAGCCCCACGCATGATTTCCCACATACATTCAAACACACAAGGTGCTAGTTTGCACAGCACAGCCAGACAGAACAAAATATATCCCCAAGTACGCCATTCTGTGAACAGGGATGTCTGTGGACTTAAAAAACGAATGAAAAAAAAAATCAGGGCCAATTGAAGCCTACGATACATACCAGCAGGTTGGAAATGCAGCCCTGAAGCACACATGTGGCACTTATTCAATTACATGAATTGAATACGGTTCTCAACATTTTTCAATCTTATAGCCAAGCATAAGTGGAGAGGAACGGCAAGTTCTTTGCACAAAAAAGTGGGGCCAACCTGAGACTGTGGGAAAGACAGAGAGCAATGCCAAACTCTCGTTTGATGTGTTCAATGCATGACTGTCCGCAAGATTCCCTTCTTTCATTTTCAGCAGCGCCCTGTTGTCCTAAAACGACAACGATCTGCAGGGAAAAAAAGAGGTGAAGTGGGGTACTCCGAGGTCCCACTTGCACAATGGTTTTCTAGTAGAATAAACGTGACAGATCTGGAGGAGGTGTTTGGTCTTTCAGTACGAGAAAGGTCTTGCTGTTTTCAAGCAGCAAAACTGTGACTCGCGCCACTTTCAAGCGGCCCGCCGAGTTCCATGAGACAAGAACTCCAGGGTGGGGCTTTGTGGCTCCATAAGCGTGAAAGAAGACAAGGCCCCAGCTTTGATGTCCCCTAATCAAGCGGACATCCACTTCAAAAAAACAAGATGGCATAAGGTTGTGCGTGCGCAAGTGTGCTCACACATGTGTTTGCTTGAGACAGATGTACTGCCCATCTTTTTGATGTAAACAGCAGTCTGTTGGACCCCATTCTCTCCATCTGACCCTGCACTCCCTCTTTTCTCTACTACAGCTGGATCTTCCCATTTGATCTGCAGTCCTTATACGTGCTACAGGATACTTTAGTGGAAATGTGTGGAAAAAAGCCCAAGCTGGGTTCAAGCAAACTATGTGATTTGGCTTGAGAAAAAGTGTGTGTGTGTGTGCTTGAGAAAGAAAGGTAAGTGGACGGGTCTCTTCTACTGCTTCAAATGGACGACATGCATGACCCTCTTAAACAAAGTCCTGTTATTCTGTCTGCTGATTGATTTGAATATAGTTTTCTCATCGAATGTATATCAGCAGCGTTTTGACGGGAGACAAGAACTCAACAACCTGGGTTGGTCGCAAAACATACTGAAACTCATATAAATGTACGATCCAATAAAGCACTGAAAGAAAAAGAAAAACTTTGATAAGCACAATTATATATTATTTATACACACTCGCATTTAAAATTATGAGGTCAGAGAGATTTTGTTTATCTATTCTAGAGTCTCAGAATTCACAATGTATTGCAATCATGAAAGAATCAAAATATAATAATCAGTACATACTATGAGAACAAATATTCACACCTCTGGTCAACCACTTAATATTAATTTTCTGAAGAGAGGAAACAATGACTGATTTTTAAAATGTGTTATTACCACATTTGATATCTATAGACAGAAGAACACAGGACTACTACCAACATTCAAGATCCTTAATGCATCGGTCTCGCCACCAACATTTTGTGCTTTAATGCGACTAATCTGGTCCATTTTGCAACAGGACCGTTTTTGTGACATTTTGGGTGTAGTTAAGGTTAACATTTGAGAAAGATGCCAAAAAAACTAGGTGTATTTAGAGTAGTTCAACCTCGGAAGCAATCTTTTAAACAATTTAAAAAATTTAAAATACAAACACACATTGCAAAGGTCATAAGTAATATAGTGTTGATAAAGCAAAGAAAAAGTGTGCAAGCATCTGTTTGGGGGAACTATACGTACAAGAGAGAGGAAGAACAAAGACCGAGAGAGAGAGAGAGAGAGAGAGAGAGAGAGAGAGAGAGAGAGAGAGAGGCTGCTGAGTGCAGGGACGTATCCAGCTGTTCTGTTCTTTTTAGGCTGACACGTTCCATTCAAAAAAATCTCTTTCGTGGCCCTGAATCAAACAATTAGCTTCCGCACAGAACGCAGAATCCAGGGAGCCTTTGATTCTAAAAGGGGATTTTTTCCACTTTATATGGGCCAATTATCGTCAGGTGCCTGCTGTCCTTGTTCGGTGAGGCTTTCAAATATCCCGCATTAAAAAGCTGGTTGTTACAACCACAGAGGAAAGCGATTCATTCATATCCACTTTAAGGGAGGAGGGGGGGGGGGGGGGTTATGGGATTTCACACCATAAGAAAGAAAGATAGAGATACTACAATATGACAGAACTGTAAATGCTCAGATATCTACGTAGCCTTGAAGGCCGCTAAAGCAAAGCCACAAACATCAACATAATCAAACATTATTTGGACTGGAGAGATGACGCTCAAATTACAGACCAGGATTGGCTTTGTATAAAGGTTGCAAGCTTGTTTGAATGACCATGTCATGTGGCCTATGGTGAAGAATGGAGCATTTGGTTTGAAACAATTCTTTAGTGAGTGGAACATCTATTTATTTGAGGGCTGAGTAAGAGACTGGCTGAAGTTTATAGTCATGGCCTTTTCGAAAGGCAAAATTCAAAGTTAAGGAGTCGATATGAGCTGGCAGCCTTATGGCGATTTTCCAATACCAGTACCAGCTCGATTCGGCTCGCTTTTCGCTCGTTTTCCATTGTAGACAGTACCGCCACAAATAGTACCCGGTTGTCACAGCGACGCCTTTCGTGGAAAAAAACTACCCAAAAGCAGGTACGGGTACAACATTTACACAGTGGAAAACCAAACAAAGGTGAGGCGAGGCGAGGCGAGTCAAGTCGAGCTAGTACTATGTAATGAAAAATCGCCATTAGACCTGTGCTGTCAGATCCAGATCTAAGAATAGAAAAATTGACATTGCAAAAAGAGCAATAACACAATGATCATGATTGTAGCTCTGTTTACACCTGACATTAACATTTGTCACGAGTGATACAACCACAAGTGGTCAGCCGAGACACATTGCTTATTGTATCTGGTGTCTCGTGACCACTTGTTGACAGATTTCATTAAGGAGGTTTCTAATTTTATGACTATATACAGCATTTATAACGTGGGCCAAATCATCATTAAACAAATTGGTCCCACTTTATATTAAGTGGCTTTAAGTACTATGTACTTGCATTGAAAAATAAGTACAATGTACTTGTGCTCATGTTGTATTGCAAAACACTTTTTGCTGCTATTGAGGTGTGATCTGGGTAAGGTTAGGGACAGGTGTGGTGGTATGGGTAGGTTTAAGGGTAGGTTAAAGTGTAAGGGATGGGTCAGCTGTGTAATTACAGATGTAATTACTTAAATTAGTTACAGCTGTAATTACATGCTGGTATTTTAAAAATATAAGTACAATGTAAAACATGTACAGTATGTACACAATAAGTCCATGGTATCAAATTATTTGTTTCAATGAGAGTACATAGTACTTAAAGCCACTTAATATAAAGTGGGACCAAGAAATGGATGAATCAATGGATAAAAAAAAGACCTTTTTTTAAAGATACAGCAGTGAAGCAATCACCCATTGCTAAATAAGAAATGTCTTTTTTATAATTAAAAATAATCCATTAAATAGCCATAGGTAAATGAGCAAATTGAAAATACAATATTTAATGTGTCAAATAATACATTTTAATTAAAATATAAGCACATTTATGGAATATTAAAGAGTTCATTAAATATTTATGTTTATTAATTAAATAATATTCAAATAATAAAGTTATGTTAAATTGTGATGCGTGTAAGAAGTAAACCGTCTATTGTTTTTTCCATTTTATTATCACCCTATATGCTGATTTCCATTAACTTTTAAGTACATTTATTGATCTGATCTTTTGATTTATCACATTTGGCCCCCCAAAAAAGGAAAATTGTGATCGACACTAATTATGCAGGCATGCTTTGTGCCACAACAGATACAAATGAATCCGCAATAAGTGAAGACAATTTACTCTTAGTGAATTCTTTCCTGATCATTTTAATGAAGATGAACCAAACCTATTAGTGAACCAAAAAGCTATTACAATATGAGGAAATGTTGAAAGCGTATTAGAGAGGTGGTCACCTGCACATCGGAAGCTCTGAGTGGTGAGACCCTTTTCTACAGCCAGACAGGTAAGGATACTGAGAAAGCTAGTGGTGACGGACTGACGTTTAGCTCTCTGGCCTTCCCTGTGCCGTCGTTCCCTGGCTGGCTTACTCCTCATCAGCACTCCACTGGGGACTTGACTATTCTCACACTGTGGCCGCTGAGCCGTCACCGCTGTTCTTAGGGCCTCCACCCAGTCTTGAGTTTTGGACTCACTCTCTGCCCGCAAGCGCAGCACATCATCAGGGAAGACCACCTGGAAGCGGGAGCTAGAGCCTCCGTCTTCATCATCCCGCTGCACAGCCAGACAGCAAGCCAGCCGGTACCGCAGCACTGGCTCCGACACCGGGCCTCTTCCCTCGGTCGGGAAGGCTTGCAGCTCGGTGCGGCTCAGTACAAACGTAAAGGCCCTCCAGTTGTTGAGGTCAGAGAGTTGGTGCAGAAGGCCAGCTTTAAGAACATCGGCAGAGTGCTGGGTGAACAGTGGCAGGGCCGTGGGACGTACCAGCGGACGAGGGGCTGGCACAGTCGTCGTGTCTGGATCGGGTTCGTGGAGGGTAGGTGCCGGCTCCCCTTTGCGATGGGCTGCACGGGCGGCCAAGACGCGTTCCCAGAGGAGTCTACGCCACTCCAGTGCCTCCCACTGGCACGGTGCGCGTAACTGCACGCGGGTGCTGTTAAAGAAGACCGCCTGCAGCACACGTCCATCCTGCGTCTGGGGAGCACTCACCCCTTGGCAGTGGGACAGTGAGAGCGCGGCACATAGCTGCTGGTTGCCGCTGCTATCCAGGCTGTAGAGACGCAGCTCACAGGGCGTAAGCTCCACATGACAGGTGGTCCAGCGTCCCCACGGTCCCTCTCTCTGCTCTAGCGTTCCCTGCTTCACTAGGCTTGGGCTGCTCTCCTTATGAGCTGGAAAAGAAAAGTCAGAAAGAGCACCTTTAATACAAATAACAAACTACCAACTAAAAATATCTCTAAATAACTATAAAATTTAATATCAATACTAGGCCTTTGGCTGCACTGTATCAAGCCAATGGCAAACCTGTGATTGCACAGGACAATTTTAGGCAATATTGTGGATCCAATACTTTCTGGTGACTTGCACTATGCAAATGAGACTTTTGACTTGATTCTTTTATAACAAGTACATAATTAAATGGAAAGAATTGTGTTTGTTTATTTGGATACCATTAGCCTAGGTAGTGGCAACTCTTCCTGGGGTCCAACAAGTAAAAATACAAAACTACATAAGTCAACAACAAAATGATAATTAAACTTATTTATTTAATTTTCATATAGAAGAGAATGCCAACATTACTTAAAATAGCAACTGCAGCTCACAATTCTCAAATGATTACCTTTTTGAGAGGACTATAGAAAAAAACAACAACCCAAAAATGGCCAAATAGCCCAAATAAATGAGAAGCATTATGAAAGAAAAAAAAAACCCAAAAAGAATTACATTTCTTAAAAGACATTAGCTAAAATATGTAATTATTCAATCAGTAATTTTAGCCAATTTACCATCAAAATGTTTTACTTATGTAGTTAGAAAATCTTACAATTAAAGGCATGAATGTGAAACACTTACACTAATCACTAGAAAATAATTGTCCTGTCCGAAAAGGGTTATGGTAATATTATGAATACATTCTTTTTTTTTTTTTCTTTTAAATGCCCATCATGCTAGTCCCTCCTCTCTCATGTTACTCTTGAGCTCTGCGTGAGAGATGTTCACATCACCCATGATGGATGGTAAGTATGCTACGTGACAGCAGTCTATCCAGCCACCGCAAAGCAGGAAGAACCATTATTGTGAGTTGGGCTGCTGTGCAAACAAAATGGCAAATAGTGACCCCTAATCTTTGGCACTCCTTTTCAATCCTTCCTTTTTCTGTCCATTTCTTTCATATACTCCCTCCTTTATCTCCTTTCCTCTCTTGGTCCACAACACTCCTCATCCTTACACTTCCTTGGGTGGAAACTGCCCGTTTTCCTCTCAACCATCGGGAACCTGCTGTTTGCCCCGGATTTCTGTGCCTGGCCAGACCAATAGAAACAGACAGAGGATACAAATTGTATTGTTTTCTTTAAGTCTTATCTCTAATCTACCAGTCAAAACTGCACCTTTTAAAAACATCTGTAACTTATATAATGGACAATCCCCTCCCACTATTTGCTGATAAACTGTGAGCTTTGAAGGTTGGGTTACTTTGACTAGCCACCAAAAGCTGCGACAGCTAACGTGCTTTGGGCCTCTGGAGTGCAGTTGTGGGTGTTTGGGGACTCCTTGCACTCGGAGGTCTTCAAAGGTGCATAGTTTGCAGCTATGGAAAGAGTCACAACTAATTTCACAGCAGAGAGGACATGAGGCGTGCTGACATGACTCAATTAGCGAGCTGGTGCAAAGCCAGTTGGCCTGCAGAGTCTGAACCATTCCAAGACCGTTCCCTCTGCAAGTTACTAAAATACCTATAATGCTACAGTACACCACTCACAGATGGGCACGAGAAAAACAGTCATCAGTAATGACTCAAAATTCTCAAAAACAGTCATCAGTAATGACTCAAAAAAGGGGAAAAAAAGCAGACATTATGGAAAAGAAAAGATCTGAGTGAATCCCAAAGCTAATCTGGACAATTTTAAGAAACAAAAAAAAATATATCAGCCAGAAAATACATTGCTAGATAAAATATATTTCAAATAAATGCTGTTGTTGTGAAGTTTCTATTAATAAAAAAATCCTGAAGAAAAAAAAAACCTTCACAGTTTCAAGAAAAATAACTGTTTCCAACACTGATAATAAGACATGTTTCATGAGGACCAAATCAGCAGAATTCTGAGGGATCATTGATACTAAAGACTACAATAATGGCTGCTGAAAATGTAGCATTGGCATCACAGAAATAAACAAACCTTGAAAATATGTTAAAATATTGTACTGATTTTTAACAATATTACAGTCTCTGAAACTAACACATTAACTCAAAATCAGTAGTAGTAGGCTATACCAACACAGTGATGGGTTAATTTGGTTAAGTTGGACATAACAGACCAAAGCAATCAAGCAATCTTGATTGACTCCCTGATCTTTTAACCAGAATCCCTGTAATTTGCTTTAGATTGTGATTTCAGCATAAATATAATTTAAGATCTGTATTCAACTAACAATAAAATTGTTCTGCTTGAGGTCCTATAAAAACGCAAATGAATAGGCACGACTCGTTTCAGACATGCTGTAATCAAAGAGAAAGCAACACATGGAGTCACATCATAACATGACATAATATTAAACAATGAAATGTCAGGAGTATAATCTATTTAGCTCTTCAATTAAAGACAACTAGTAAGTTCTGTTGCACTGACTGACCCTTTGCTACTTCAATTTCTGTAAGAACCATGATAGACTTTTTTTTTTCTCAGAATTTTTTTAATGAACAGAAACGCTTAAAATAGAAAATTCTAAAGAACAGCATTTTTGAAACAGAATTATTTTGTGACATTATAAATGTACTATCATTTTTGATCAATTTAATCCATCCTTGCTGAATATCAGTATTAACTAACAGTATAAAATCTTTCAGAAATCCATTCCCAATCTTTTGAATGGTAGTGTATTTTAAAAATGTAAAATGTCTTTAAAAAATGTCTTTAATAAAAATAAATAAATAAAAAACTACATTTAAATTAAGTTCAATCTAAGGCCAGTCAAACAAGACATTGAAAAATGGGTGCAAACAAAGCAGACTAAATTGAAATTGACGCTTGTAATGAACTACAGAGCCAAGTCAAGCATAGCGCAAACACTGAGACCTGTGCAGTGAAGAGTGTATGGGTTTCTCCAGTCTTAATCAGTAGATCTATCAGAATTAGAAACTGGGTGGGTTGCCAATATCTTAATGTCACCTAGGATTCAATCTCAGTCACTGAAGAAACGGTGGGCATTCGAGCATGGAACTCCCTTCTATTTCCAGTTGCTCCCTTTGGCACATTTTGCTGTAATTAACAATTTGCCCCATTAAGTTTTAATACGGAAGCAAAGACAGCCAAGAGGATTGGTATCACCTGCCGATTTGCAAAACCTAGCACTGATTTATTGGATGTAGAAATAAATCAGTCTTTTCGAAATGAGTTAATATAAAATTAAACCAGCCTACACTGGATATAAAAAGCTTTAAAACAAAGCGACCATTTATATTAGTGAATGTGTATTTTATTAAATCATAGTAGCATGTTAATCATAATATGCCTCTGGGTTTCTATTGTTCTTGTTCTGGTATGACCTTGTCTAAATAAACCCTTCAGTAGAAAACAACAAACAAACTCATTGAACCCTCTCAACATAAAAGGATGTGATTCCTGCAAAGAGCGCAGGTGAGCGGTGTTGACAGAGACATAGACGCAACAAATCACAGGTGTGAGGAGATAAAAGCTACATCATCACGTAATGACATTTTAATAAAGTGTCCAAAGTGATGAAAAACAATGTCATTTGAGCAAGTGGATAGTCTTTTGATGGATAACAGCTGTAATAAAAATACCACCTAAACAGATGTTACACGATAAAGTGCTGATTGATAAAAGTTGAGAGTTTTTTCGATGTGAGCTTTTGTCTTAACCAGCCACAAGAAGTGACAAATGGGACAGTGAAATCTCATTGGTCCAAAACCCACTTAATGCAACTGTCGAATACAATATTCAAGTTCTGGAAATAGTAAATATCTCGTTCACTTTCTCCATAGAGGAGAATTCCATTATAATTCTGCAAATTTAAAAAAAAAAAAAAAAATTATTGTAGAATTGTAGTTCTTTCTATCATTAAAGCAGCTAAGTATACAGTCTTGTACCTCAGTCGTTTTCCCCCAAATGTTTTTTTTTTTTGGTTAAAATCATTTAAAGCTGCAGTCCGTAACTTTAAAAATTATCCAAAATACATTTGAGCAAGTGCATAACCAGGCTGTGTTCAAAACTATAGCTCGATTCAACGGTAAGCTTGTAAAAATGTTTTTAATTCCAGTAGTACTGGTGGATTTCCGTGGGAGATTCGAGCATGTCTTCGCGTCATTACGTCACACCTGTACACATAAAGGAGGAGTCTCGGCTAGTTGAAGCTATATTGCGTGTGAGAATGGTTGAGGTGGAGATTTCTGGCCTTTTCTCACAGAACTTGGTATAATTATTAAAGTCCCCATGAAATAAAAATTTACCATATTTGCTTTGTTTGCCTAAATTGATCGTTTTGTGGTGAACAATATACATGCAATTCAATCCACACAAAAAAAATGTTTGGCTTCGTAATCTTTAATCAAATTTTGAAAATGCCCCTCCCCTCTGCATTGGAGGACCTTGCCCGATGACGCAGGCTTTACGGTTTGGGTGTCTCCTTAACATCCATAACCACGCCCCTCCAACTGACAGCTGCTGTGTGTTTGCGAGCTCCAAGCGAGCATTGATCGTAAACTTGCATCATCCTCCATTTCAGAATGAAACACCCATTTTTCTAGATCCAATCAGGCGCTAGTTGGAAAAAAAGCCACGCCCATTATTTTGCCTCATTTAGTATTCCGTTTCTCTCGGAAATACGTCACAACACTGGAGAAAAGTCGTTTGCAACTTCTGGTTCATGGGGACTTTAAACGTATTAATTTGATAGTGGATTCATAAAGGTTCAAATGATAATCACCAGAGACAACTAGAGATTAACTCTGTTGTAAAATGCAAAAGATTTTGGACTGATAGTTTGGAAAAAGAGACTGCAACCGGGCCCATGCGAAACATATACTTCCAAAAAGTAGAATCTGTGATTCTTAATGACAGTATCCACACCGCATGGTGATTGACAGCTGCACATTCTATGCAAAACATTGGATTCATCCAGGCTGTGCCGTGCCGAGGTACAACTCACGTAAAGTTGATGATTCTGCGAGAGAACAGAGATGGCGACAAAGAGGAAAAACTGCGGACTGCAGCTTTAATGTGATTATTCACCAAGTGGTTGATTTCATGGCTCATCATAACTGTACAACAATTTTTCTGACTGCTAAACAAGTGGATGTGCACTGTTGCACAGTGATAATGTTCTGATTGGTTGGGATTATATGGCATCACTCGGTATTTTTACTTTCGGTGTGGACGGACAAATTTCCTGTCGCTAGAATCTTGTAAGTAAAACACCTGTTTTTTTTATGAGACACAATTTGTTTAACTTTTTGCATCTCTGCACTACACATCAATTCCAATTAAAAGGTATCAATAATAATTGCAGTTTAATCCTTACCATCTCTGTAGTCATTCAGTGCCATGTTCTTGAGGGTATTTTTGTCAATGGCCGGCATGCCATTATCGGTGTAAGTGCGGTTGTTGACGTCTGAACGGGAACGGTTGTGGCCACGTTTGAAGCCGCCATTAGATGTATTGGTGGTTGAGTTCGCCTCTTTGGCATGCGCCGCCAAATCATTGGTAGATCGTGCCCGGTTCCTTTTTCCATGTCGTAGGCCCAGCACGTTAAAGGACGTCTGCTCTGCCCAGGCCATATTGCCTGGTGATATCTCCGACTGCTTCCCTGTCAGTAGCCCCCACACGCCACTGGAATTTAACTTGTCCATGGTGGAAGCCTCTTTAAGCTTGGGCGGACGTACCTGGCCATCCCCTTGATTGTCAGCGAGGCAGTGCAGGTAATCCTCAGTGGCCTCGAGGGCAGGGCTAATGTCCTCGACCTCCAGACCCTCCATCACCTCAACAGTTTTGGCGTCACAGAAGTGGAGGGGTGGGGCAAAGGGACCGATTCCTTACATGAGCGAGGGTAGATGGGGCTGGATCGAGATGCCTCAAGGCACCGCAGACGGAACATCTGCTGTCTGAACCCAAAAGAACTGTTGCAAAACAGATGGTACACAAGAGCAAGAGCCCCTTCCAGTACTGTCACTTTCTGTGCCAAATCTGCCAACGTTGTTAATCAAGCACCTAATGAGAACCGACCGCTGTGCCAGCAACCAGTATCACCACTGGGTAGGGTGAGGTCAGCAAACTCAGAGCTGTCTAGAACAGGTGTTGCCTCAAACAAGTTCCTCAATTAAATCACTGCAGTCAGTAAGGCGTTGATTCAGTGAGAGGGCGTCCTTCCCCAGAGCCAGACATCCTAAATTTAGACAAACAAGAAAGAAAAGGACAGTACGGTCAGCAAAGTAACTCTATGGACAGCTGATGTTCTAGTGATGAGCATCTGAGCAAAAAGCATAACATCAGCAATTATACAACAGACAAGAACCACAAGTATTTTTTCTGAATAACCAAGTTCTGTCCCACACAAACCCTAGTGAGCTTCCTTGCAGTCTATCAGCTAATATAGACCTTTGCCATCTAAGGTGGCATACTCTCCGCAATTGAACCTCATAAGTGACTGATTTTCCAGCAACTCTGTGAGACATGCGCTGGTAGGTAACATGACGATTGCAGAACGTCCAGATTGCATTCAAACTAGAGATTACTTCGATAAAACGTCCTTTTCAATGTGGTACTCAACTTGTGTGATACCTAATCAAATCAATGTGGCATCTACCTATCAGACTTCGAGTTTCTAATGATGGACAACTTTACCAGTTGCACCACATCTTGCTGATTTTTCAGCATCGTGCACAGTAACTTATGTGTAAAGTAAAAAGTAGCTCATGTTTCAAGAGTCTGCGCTCTTTTCCGTTCCACTTAAATACAAACGCAAAAATGTGTTCTGCGTGAATGCCCCCAAATGCTGCTTCCGTTTGATACAGCCTTCACATGTTGAGAAATGAGAAACTATTGTGTCAGCAACTGAACTTCACTCACCTTGACCTGTATTTATTTACACTCATGGCAAAAAATCATAACAAGACATTGTGAATTTCACAATACTACCTACTGTAGCAAATGGAATCCGTTCAACAGGCTACCTTAAGTTCCAGAGATTCAGGCAAACAGACAAACCTGGAAGTTTCCAGCCTCTCCAAACATGAGCTTGGCTTGGTTCTTTCTTGAATTTTCATTTCACATAGTTATGCTGCCTCTCCTCATCTTACTCATGTCTACATCCTCCCGCACTAACATTGATTTCCTCTGCACTCCGGCTCAGTGTCTTTCACTTTCTTTGAACCATCAATTATTAAAAAGGCCATTACATCATCTCAGAGACAACACAGTCTCATGAAGATGCGCATCTATACCACGAATGTCATTTCTCGTGGCATTTATATGCCAAAAATGTTTTTTGCGTGCTTATGCTACGCACTAAAAAACCCTGGGTTAGGTTTAGGGGGGAGGGGGGTGGGGGGTTTGTGCATATTATACGCCAAAAAGTGCGCATCATATACATGCGAAAAACGCGTACCATATACACGCAAAAAATGTTTTTGCCGTATAAATGCCACGAGAAATGACATTCGTGCTATAGATACGAACTTTCATCGGCTATAGATCGGGATCCTCCGAGAAGAAGCTCACCTGACCCATGAGAAGAAACAAAGAAATACATATAAATGCAGACCAACAGACAGCTGTGCAAATAGGTGATTTCCGTTGGTTTAAAACTCACCAGCAAAACAAGCAAATCTTCAAATCAACTAATAAAATAAAATAATGGGTGTCAAAAAAAGGGATATTCTCAAAAAAATTCTGTCATCATATTCTCACCATAAAGTCATTCCAAACCTTTAAAAAGAAGTGATTTTCTGAAAAGTCTCATGGAAGACAACATTCTTCAAACTCAAGGCACAATCATAGCAAGGCATTGTCATGGTATTATGCTATAAGGCATCAATTAATCAATTTAATGCTAGTACCTTGAAGGCCGTGGATAAACGTGTTACACAGAAGAACAGGATCAGAGCAACATGAGGGTGTGTAAGGACACATTGTAAAGTTTCAGGAGTGACAACTGTATTTCAATATGGGAAATGAATTACAATGATTGACACCATGGTAAACATAAGCCCTATTCAGACAGGACTAGTTTTCATTACAAGTTTTCAGACAGGACATTAGAGAAATGCATGTTTCACAGACGTACTTAGTGATTTTAATCCCGTCGGTATCTGCCAGCAGTGTTTTTCTTGCTCAACCTCTGTAAAAATTCGAGGGCAAATTACCTTTGGCCCTACTGTTCTTCAGCAAACTCAAAAGTCCTCTAAGAAATCTAATCCCCCATCTGAATGCAAATGTCTGTGATTGCTGATTAATTGTATTATTCAGAATAATAATTCTATCACTTCTCCTCATGCATTTATTTTGAGCTATTATTTGCACACCAATCTTTGACATGTTTTCATTTAGTGTCAATATGGATGGTCTCCGACAAAAAATGATAAATACAATCTATGAAAAGAGCCAAATCGTGGAATTGCGAAGATAGCCCATTTTAATATCAGTCAGGTAAAGGTAAGATACCTTAGATTTCTCTGCACACTTATGTTATAAACAGCCACTGTGATCAACTTGTGAAGTTTACTTAAAAAGGACTTTTATAATAAATTAAAAATGATATTAACAAATAATAAATTAAAAGAGACATAAATCACATGTGATGCACACAAGCACAGCAGATGATGAATCGGTACATGAAATCACACAGATGTTGAGTGATAAGAATTGTAACTCAAATGTTGGTTTAGGAGGCTATTCCCCTCTGAATAGGAATTAAGCAACATTCGGCCTGTTGTGTGTTTAATATTACAGTGGCCAAAAGTTATGTTCTGCAAATTTAACTAAACCCATGCTTCTGTCCTGGGGACACCCCCACCACTGCACATTTTGAATGTACCCCTCATCAGTCACATCCAACACAAGTTTTGCAATTTCTAATGAGCTGATGAGTTGAACAACCTAGATGAGAGAGACATCCAAAATGTGATTTGTTTTTTGTTTATGCTTGGAATTTCACTCCCATAAATTACTGAACTCTAGTACAAGATCAAGCATTAAAAGCTGAATTGACAACCAAATTTAGCTGCAGTGTGATGAGACTAGTACTACAAATCAGCAGCCAGCCATGAGAACCAGATCTGCAACAGTAAAAACTTGAGCTGGTGATCTTAACACCTCTGCATGTTGACACACTTATTCAGAGTGTGATGAGGCCCTCTTCTGCCGTTCTATTTTTAGCCATCTCACAGCAAACATCAGTCTGCACACTGAGGCAGTGACAAAGCAAAGTTATGTCCTGCAAGTAGCATGTGAGAATCATAAAGTGAAAGCAGTAGAGAGAAGATGTGCACCCTCTTAAATATAATTTTGTACAATATAGTCACGTTATTGCTGCTGCAGCAGTACCATAAATCAGATTTATTCTGTTACACTGTGATGAGCAGTAATGTGACATCATAACACACTTATATGTCATCATAAAATAACATAAAATCATATTATCACAGATCTATGATATATCATTTTACGGAAACACAAAAACCCCTAGGCTAAGTGCCAGTAAACTAAACTGCTTATCTTTTGACATTTTACAATAAAAAGAACTGCGGTATCAGACGCATATGATACTATCTTTAATTAATACACAATAGTAAATCTGGTCAATTGTAAAACACCACCGCTACATTTATTCTAGTGTAGTAAGGCAAATGGCTTTTGATTTGTTTTTTGGTTTTTATTTTCTCCACTACCGTCACCTGATGGAGTTTTGGTTCCTTGACACTGACTGCGCTTTATAAATAAACGTGATTTGACAAAACAGACACAAAATTACGAGAGACGACCCCTTACATCAGCTATCTAATGCTGAGTATTCACACAAGAGTTATTAATTATTTTTAATTAATAACTTATACTTAGTTATACGGTCCACACATGTGCAGCTTACACACAAGCAAGCTGCGAGATATACGAGACAAGACGTAAAAAGAAAATATAGAAACTCTAATATCAAGGTGTGCCCCTCTTCTGAAAGAAATTGTGCTTTTCTTTACAAGTCGCTGTTTCGCTTAATTAAGCCGATGACTTCATACCATGATGCTAGTTAGCACTTGGCTACATCTGCAGCCAATGCCATTTGTGTCATCCGATTGTGCTTAACTCACAGCGGTTATAATAATTGTATGAGTCATTGATAATAAGAGAATGACTATAACACAAAGTACGAGCATGAAAAGACCATATAATCCGTTGTTTGTATGTGAAAGTGACTCACCAGATTCTGTTTACAATCTGTCACATTCAGTTCCGTCAGCAAAAATGCACACCGGGTAAAACAACATCCTGGTTTAAAAGGTTCCGGCTCCCTTTATTTATTTATTTATTTATTTATTTATTTATTTTATAAGCCTACTACTTCATTTATTTTATTTCGCGATTATAATGGTATTCTTTGTAGTATCTTGGACCACCATGTGGTACATGGACATTTTCAATACCGTTGTATTGTCAGCTGGTGGTAGGCCTAAAGTCACTGATAGCCTAATAAATTAGATTAGTGTTTATAGTACATTTCTGTAAGCCAAGTGAGATTTTAGATTTAGGCTACTTTAATGGAACAATGTATTTCAGTGTTTCCTTGTCAGTACAAGTCACAAAATTGTGTAAAATCATTTTAGCTACTCTGTAATATTGCAGAGACTTGTTTTATCGATCGCACTTCTCTCACAAACACCAGCATCCTTTGCACATGTCTCACAGTCATTGGCAATCCACGTGGACTTGGAATGAGATGTCATACAAAAGAACACAAAAGAAGTCTAACTGCATAAAAGATCTATGCATTCTTAATGTGCAAACTGTGGTCGACATTAAGACTTTGTGCAATAGTGAAGCCAAGTGGTTTGGCAAATGAGTGGCAAAGATAGGATTTTTTTGTAATAGCCAACAGCCGTTCTTGAAGCCAGCCCTGCATCTATTGTTCAGGGTCCCCAAAAAGAAACATTATTCAAGTCTTTTTCAGGCCACAGACAGAAACACAGTAATTATCGTGGGCTCCGGGCTAAACCTGCGACCTCCCCTCCAATCCTCCTCTTCTCCCCCTGCTACCCTTTCTGAGAGCTCATTGTCTTGACTTGTTTAAAGAAAGGCTTCGTTAATGAAGGAGGAGGGGACATGGACTAATGGGCTCAAATAAGTTCCTCTCCGCAATATTGTTGTGGGATAATGGTGCTACGAGACCCAGCTGTAAACTTGCAGGAGCCATATTGTGCGTGACCTATATAGACCCTCATCTGAACCCGTGCTGAATGCTGATCTGCCCCAGAAAACTCAACATTTCTCTCCCCCTTCCCTTTTCTGTCTTCTTTTTTTCTGTTGTTCTGATTCAATTAAGAGAGTCAGCAATTGGACAGGCCACTGTAAGTGACATAGAGAGGGAAAAGAAGAGAATGGCACACAGCAATTAATGTTGAAACGCTAACTTGTTAACCTTGACAAAGGTAGCAATTGTATGGAATTTATCTTCATTTTATGTTTATTAAAGAAATGTTAACTTTGCTAACCGTGTCAAATGGCAGGAAATATTCACAAAATTCACATTTCATATGCATTCATATTTTATCATGTGTACCATTTTTATTATTTTATTTAGCAGAATGCGTTAAATTGATCAAAAATGACAGTAGAGACATTTATAATGATACAAAAAATTTCTATTTAAAATAAATGCTGTTGTTCAAACTTTCCAACAAAAAAACACTTTGTTAAGCAGCACAACCATTTTCAACAGTGATAATGATCACCAAATCAGCATATTAGCATGATTTGCCATCAAATAACATTTTAAAATATAATACAATATAAAACAGTTCTTTTAAATCATAAGATGATTTCAATGTTTTAAAAAAATCAATTTTCAAATAAATGCAGCCTTTGTGAACATTAAAAAATGTTCTTTCAAAAACAAACAACAACAACAACAAAATCTTACTGACCCCAAACTTTTGAACATTTCTGAAGCTAACTTATTCAATTATGACTAACAATACAGTCATACATCTTGCTGCTCAAAAGCTTTGGTTACTTTACCATATAAGTTTGCTTTTTTTTAAAGCAGTTATGGGTCATACTTGTAATACTTTAGTATTTTTACATTAAACTTTTAATTCATAATAAATTTTACTTTTATAAACATATTGAACATCTAAAGCCCACTTATATTCCTTTGACAGACAAAGAAGAAATACGTCCTTATAAACAAGGTTGCTATTTTTAGAACAATATAGTTGATGTAGCATAATTTTCTCAAATTGGATGGAAGTGGGCGCCATCATTTCGGCACAAACTACAGCACAGAGAACTGATCATCAGCATGAAAAAAAACAAAAAAAAAAACAAGCCTGAGCCACAGCACAACAATTCCTTTATGTCTTTGAAATTTATCCTCATATCAGACTCCCATCTCTCTCTCTCTTGTTCATATCTTGACCCATGAGCCTCTCCTTTTCACTGTTTGTGTTTTCAGTGTCTATTTGGATTCTGTGCTCCTGCACTGATGACTAAATTATGATTGGGCGTAAGGATAGCAGGGCTTTCATCTGCCCAGCGTTGTTCCATGCTTTCCTCTCCAACACAAAGGGCCCCTCTGCCTCTGCTCGGCCTGCTTTTGAAGAGCAGAGTGGCTATGGGTCCCCATGGAAACCACTGCGTTCCCTACAGGAGAAAGGTGTGCTCTCAAACAGAGACAGAGAGAGAGAGAAACAACGTCAAGCCATATCTCAATCATTAATCGCTTTATTAATTTTCAATGTCCATGCCCTTCTCTGAAGGTGCAAACATGCTGGTGCAAATGACTGGTTTTGTAAACTGTGTAAAAATCTTTGTAAATGCAAAATATTATAACTACATTCGGCAGATTTCAATAAAAATAAAAGCTGCCCCTTAACCTAAACCTTAAAAGTATAGAGTTGGTATACTTTAACCAAACTATAAGTTGATGGCATTTTTTAACTGAGTTCATGAAAAGAACTTTTCTTGACAGCTGATGCGTAATTAAATTGACCAATGAAATCGACTGCGGGACGGGGTTTGTATCGCAGTGGCGTTTACGATGCTCGAGTCCAGTGACCTCAGCTTGTGCGTGTTTTACATCATTTACATTGGAAACGTTGGAGACCACCGGCCTCTATTTCATATTCATAAGGCTTTACGTCCTGTGGCACAATAGTAATCTTTACTCTGACAATGCCCATGAATGAGTTTCCATTCAAACAGGGAGAATCCAATTATCACAGCACAATGGTGACAGTCTGAGGGATGCTGTCTTTATCCTCTCTCTCACTCACACACACACACACGCCCAATGTATTTCTTTCTCCGCTCTCATTGGGGTAAACCATTGTCACAGATATCTAATAAAGTCAAGGACACTTTGGAGTGTGTAGGTACAAGTCTTTGTTCGGACTATTCGGTACTCAGACGCACTCTGATTTTCTGGTCACTTGGAGGAAGTCACATCTTGTAGGCCTACAAGTGCACATTTTACAGTGCTCATGGTGTTTTAATTCATGTATTTTTCCATTTAAACACTGATTATAAAATAATAATAATTCATAATTTAAAAATCTCTGTGTCCCTTGCTGTAGAATGATAGCAGACTCCAAAGCCACTAGAAGGCAAGCCTGCGACCTTTGGCCAAAAAAGCATAACAACTAATGGTAACACTATGGCAGAAGGAGACCAGAGGCTGTTGTTTTTAATGAATGTCAATGGAGAAGAGGCTTCACTACATAGCTTAATGAATCCACTGCCTGTCCACTAGTCTTCAACATGCTTTATGCTAAACAACAATACTTTTGTTGGAAACGATTTATAGATTTTTACTATGATAAAAGGTTACAAGAGAAGGCAGAGAAGGGAATGTCACGACAGGTAAGATTCATTTCATTTAGAAGAAGGTGAGAAGATGGTGTCTGTGCCGGAGACGGTGTTGCCCGTTTTGGAGACGGTCCGTTGCGGAAAAGTTGGTGTGTCCCTGCCAGAGACATTGGTGTCTGTGCCAGAGATGGTGTTGTCCATTCCAGAGACGTTGGTGTCCGTGCTGGAGACGGTCCGTTCCGGAGAGGTTGGTGTTGTCCGTGCCGGAGACGGTGGTGTCCGTGGCGGAGACGTTGGTATCCGTGCCGGAGAAGTTTGTCTCTTTCACCCGATTGCCATTGAGAAATCTTAGATTTGATTATAGTTTTGCAAGTTCAACATGGGTTATAGGGCGAAAGTTGAATGAACAAGTACTTAAGTCCTTTCAATTTCTTACAGGTTGAGTTGTTGTTGCCCATATCATGCTAGCAATCTGCTAATGGATGCTGATTGGTCAGTGAAGGACTGATTAAGACCAGAGACACCGCTTGATGGAATCATGGCTTCCGAAGCGGACTGAACTCTCACACATGTATTTAACTGTGTCAGCTGTGTTGTCAATGCCTCAAGAGCAAAGAAAGAGCAGAGCGCAAAAGCATAAGACATAATAAATACATAGGGCGCTTTGGAACGTTGCTGCGATAGTTTTCCTATTGTGGAAAAAGCATTTTTTGACCCGATTTTAGCAATAACCAAGATAACTGATGGATAACTGAAAGATAATATGGTACAACTACAGTGCAATGCAAATAGTAGGCCTAAATAAGATAAAGTGAGAAGTAGCCTAATAGTAAATAGTTTAGTCAATACAATAAACAAATAGTATAGGCCTACAGCGAATAAAATGCTATATAAAATAAAGGTTATAAAATAAAATGACACAACCCTGTTTATTTTTGTTAAATTTCAGTTTTACTGATCAGTAGCCTAATAGACATAACAGTAGGCTAAGTAAAAGTTATATGAACTTATACAAGACGAGAAATAAAGTTGGATTCAGACAAATTGGATACAACGTTAAAAAGCCAAAATATAAAGTTATGAAACTTCACTTTGCCCTCAGCCAAAAACAATTTACCAGGAAACAAATGATAGATTAATGAGATGAAAGATCGCCCGTTAGATATACACAAGACGAATTATTGAGAAATGTTTAACCACATCAGAGCCAGCGTAATTTCTTATTCTCTGCCGTTACCTTTAAGAGAGAAAAATGAGACCCTCCCTCTCATCGGTCCGGGTATCTCCCTCTGCAAGCTTCTTGCAACAGGTTGTTGTGTCCGCCTTTATTGTCCATCTTCACTCTTCACGTCATTGTGCTGCCATCTAGTGAATAAACTATCACAATCTCCTCAACTGAAAACATTTGATTTCGTAAGAAACTCCACGACAGTGTGATATTTTGATTTTTGTCGCAACAAAAAAGTTCAAAATGTAATAAACACA